TATAAAAAATATCTTTGATTATGTGAAAAAGTACTGAGTAAATTCTGACAAAAAAAATTACGAATATGCTAGTATATAAAAGATTTATTGCAATAACTTAAAATTTGTTAAAAAATCATTTTTATTACATTAAAAACACAAAAATCATAAATAAGTAATTACTTAGCTATATGTAAAACACTTGTCAGATTTTGAAGTCCGAAACTTAATTACACAGATTAAGTCTTTAAGTATACTAATAATTATACAGTTTTATTTTCTAAAATTTTTTAGTAAAATTTGTGTCCCAAGAATGATGTAATTTTAGAATCAAAAACTTTAATTGTGCAAATTAAGATTTCAACGATATTAATTGTTGTAAATATTAACTGTTGGATTGGTTTGTCGAATTTCAATTACAAAAAATTGGATCACCAAGGCAATGTCATAACACTACAAGAAAAAACATATTTAGCCACCGAATTTTTTCGGTCGCAATTAGCGACCGATTTAATTTTGTTCGCAAATAGAGACCGATTTAGCGACCACTTTAATTCTGTCGCAATTCGCGACCGATTTAGCGACCACTTTAATTCGGTCGCAATTAACGACCGATTTAGCGACCAAAATATGATTTGGTTTTAACTTTTTTATTTAGCGACCGAAATAGCGACCAATATTTTGCGTCGCAAAATTTCGGTCGCTAAATCGGTGGCTATTTCATACATAAATAAAAAAATCATTTAGCGACTAATTTAGCGACCGAATTACAAATTGAAATAGTGACCGAATTAAAATCGGTAGCTAATGAGAAAATAATCGATGATTTTATATGACTTTTGCAATATCGTTCAAGTGAAAATAACATCGCTCGAGCGACGCCACCTGCACAAAATTGGCATTCTCGAGTTGTATTTCGCTTGAGCGACACTATTCTCGCTCGAGCGACATCCTATTCAAACATGAGGTCACCCATGTTACATTATCCGACAAACTTTGATCGACGTTTACGCAGGTCAACATTCGCTCAAGCGAAAGTAATATCGCTCGAGCGACGCCAAGTGAACCGCTATCATTTGTCACTTTTAAGAGCGGTTAATATTTACACCGCTCTTAAAAGTGAACATATAATAGTGGTTCCAAGTGAACCGCTATCATATACAACCACATTTTTTTATTCTTATCGATTAGATTTTCAAATGATCGATCATATTTGATAATTTTTTCAAATAATTAATTATAATCGATTAGTTTTCTAAATTATTGATTAGAATTGATTAGTTTTTCAAATAATAAATTACAATTGATTAATTTCTGAAATATATATTAAACAATTATAATTAAAAATATAAATTATTTAAGAATATTAACTATTGTAAAGATAAAGTAGAACATGGGAGGAGATGAGGAAGATAATATAATGATAGAACTTACAAAAATTTAGAATTGAGAAGTTTAAAACAAAAAAAATTAAGAAAATAGAGATTTAATTACACTCGTTAATAAATTTAAGATAATACTAGTTTTGATTTTTATTTTTAAATATTTATTTCAATTTTTTAAAACAGAGAAACTATAATTTTAGTTTCTAAATACTCAATTTAAAGAAATAAATTTATTATTATTTAATCTTTTAATTTTAGTATTAAAAATTTAAATTATATTTTATTAAATTAAAATAATTACAATATATTTTTCTACTTTGAGAATGAACAATATAATTAAACTCAAAATTGACAATATTATAATACATTTTTGAACTCTTTTGGATTAATTTTTTTTCCTAATTTTTGATAATGTTAATTTTAATATTTAAAAGTATTTAACATTTTGAATTCTGAAAGGTTTTCTCTAATAGCAAATTTTAAAACATAATATTCAAAAAAATAGTTAATGTAAGTTTTCATTATGATCGATTATATTTTGAAATGATCGATCATAATTGAAACGATATAATAGCGATTCCACGTTAACCGCTATTAGAAGTGCGCTTTTAAGAGCGGTTCAAGTGGAACCACTATCATATACAACCACATTTTTTTATTCTTATCGATTAGATTTTCAAATGATCGATCATATTTGATAATTTTTTCAAATAATTAATTATAATCGATTAGTTTTCTAAATTATTGATTAGAATTGATTAGTTTTTCAAATAATAAATTACAATTGATTAATTTCTGAAATATATATTAAACAATTATAATTAAAAATATAAATTATTTAAGAATATTAATTATTGTAAAGATAAAGTAGAACATGGGAGGAGATGAGGAAGATAATATAATGATAGAACTTACAAAAATTTAGAATTGAGAAGTTTAAAACAAAAAAAATTAAGAAAATAGAGATTTAATTACACTTGTTAATAAATTTAAGATAATACTAGTTTTGATTTTTATTTTTAAATATTTATTTCAATTTTTTAAAACAGAGAAACTATAATTTTAGTTTCTAAATACTCAATTTAAAGAAATAAATTTATTATTATTTAATCTTTTAATTTTAGTATTAAAAATTTAAATTATATTTTATTAAATTAAAATAATTACAATATATTTTTCTACTTTGAGAATGAACAATATAATTAAACTCAAAATTGACAATATTATAATACATTTTTGAACTCTTTTGGATTAATTTTTTTTCCTAATTTTTGATAATGTTAATTTTAATATTTAAAAGTATTTAACATTTTGAATTCTGAAAGGTTTTCTCTAATAGCAAATTTTAAAACATAATATTCAAAAAAATAGTTAATGTAAGTTTTCATTATGATCGATTATATTTTGAAATGATCGATCATAATTGAAACGATATAATAGCGATTCCATCGTTAACCGCTATTAGTAAGTAAGGCGCTTTTAAGAGCTGGTTCCAAGTGGAACCACTATCATATACAACCACATTTTTTTATTCTTATCGATTAGATTTTCAAATGATCGATCATATTTGATAATTTTTTCAAATAATTAATTATAATCGATTAGTTTTCTAAATTATTGATTAGAATTGATTAGTTTTTCAAATAATAAATTACAATTGATTAATTTCTGAAATATATATTAAAAAATTATAATTAAAAATATAAATTATTTAAGAATATTAACTATTGTAAAGATAAAGTAGAACATGGGAGGAGATGAGGAAGATAATATAATGATAGAACTTACAAAAATTTAGAATTGAGAAGTTTAAAACAAAAAAAATTAAGAAAATAGAGATTTAATTACACTCGTTAATAAATTTAAGATAATACTAGTTTTGATTTTTATTTTTAAATATTTATTTCAATTTTTTAAAATAGAGAAACTATAAATTTAGTTTCTAAATACTCAATTTAAAGAAATAAATTTATTATTATTTAATCTTTTAATTTTAGTATTAAAAATTTAAATTATATTTTATTAAATTAAAATAATTACAATATATTTTTCTACTTTGAGAATGAACAATATAATTAAACTCAAAATTGACAATATTATAATACATTTTTAAACTCTTTTGGATTAATTTTTTTTCCTAATTTTTGATAATGTTAATTTTAATATTTAAAAGTATTTAACATTTTGAATTCTGAAAGGTTTTCTCTAATAGCAAATTTAAAAACATAATATTCAAAAAATAGTTAATGTAAGTTTTCATTATGATCGATTATATTTTGAAATGATCGATCATAATTGAAACGATATAATAGCGGTTCCACGTTAACCGCTATCTAAAATATATTTTAGATAGCGGTTAAGGTTTAACCGCTACTAGAAGTGCGCTTTTAAGACTGCTAAGATTGTGAAGTCTCGGGTTGTATTTCGCTTGAGCGACACTATACTCGCTCGAGCGACATCCGATTCAAACATGAGGTCACCCATGTTACATTATCCGGCTAACTTTGATCGACGGTTACGCAAGTCAACATTCGCTCAAGCGAAAATAACATCGTTCGAGCGACGCCACCTGCACAAAATTGGCATTCTCGGGTTGTATTTCGCTTGAGCGACACTAGTCTCGCTCGAGCGATATCTAATGAAATAGCAGTTAAGGTTTAACCGCTATTAGATGTTTACTTTTAAGAGCGGTTCAAGTGGAACCGCTATCATATACAACCACATTTTTTTATTATGATCGATTACATTTTCAAATGATCGATCATATTTGAAAATATATAATAGCGGTTAAGGTTTAACCGCTATTAGATGTTAACTTTAAGAGCGGTTCCAGTGGAACTGCTATCATATACAACCACATTTTTCATTTTCGTATACATCCCAGTCGCGCCACTTATCCCCAAATAACCCTAACTCTCGCGCCTCACTCACCCATTCCTCTTAACCTTGCAAATCCCACGGCCAGTATCTCCTCCTCACTCCCGGCGAGCCCTAGCCCCCTCACTGCTCCCCCCAAGTCAGCCCTCACCCTAATCCAACCTCCACCAAACCCCAGTCATCACCACCGCCTCCCTGGCCACCATCGTGGCCATCCATAAATCTCAACCTAACCTCCACTATTGAACCAACCGCGCACTAGAGGTGAGTCGTAGGGTCGCGGGTCAAGCCCTTCGGTTCACATTTTGCCGCTATGTTCTATTTCTTTTATGCCTTTTTACTCGTGGATTGTTCTCCTTGGTTAAGGATGAATTGTGTGTGGGTCTCGGTTTATTTTCGTATGAATTGTCAAACTGACTACCTCTATTGGTTGAATCGGGTTCCGGCTTGATTCCGGGTCTTATACTCGTTATTTCCGTTTAGTTTTTTTTCCCGAATATGTAGTTTTCATGTTGGCTGCGTAATTTACTAGACCTTACCATCCACAAAATGTTTGCCACTCGTGCTTATCTCGTATAGAACAGCTTTATACACATCCAAAAGTGAAGGTATGAAGTATGTTCATTTTGTTAAGAAGATTATTGAATTTTAGGTAGATGTAGATACCTGCCTTTTTTTCCTTACCTGTCTACTTAATACCCATGAACTTACCATTCTTGGTTTTTACAGTTTCTAATCCCATCTTGATGTTTCCAGGCAATGGAGCTTATGATGGTCGATGCACTTGTTCATGCTAATAGTTATTTCGAAATTTCATATAAATAATCCTTCTCAGCATCTGGAAGGTTATCGTGGCTTCTTACAAAATTAAAAGCATTTTTACAATGCTCTTTTGAATCATAAAACGTAATTTACTTTAAAAATGCAATCTGGATGACACAATAGTTAAAACTATTGAGACAAGTACAAGTCAAGAACTAAAGGAGGCCAGGGAGTTCATCCTGCGCATTCGAAGGAGGAATTTGTACCAGGCATGTTTTTAACCTCGTTGGTTTTCTTTGATTGTTATCAATTACCTGCTGCAATTACCTATTACGTCATCGTATCTTCTCAAGCTGTTTGTCACAAATTCAATGCTAACTATTGTGTGGATGTTTCTAAATTTACATTACATTGGCCTAAAATGTTTGTGTGTATTTATTAAATTATAATTATAATTATATAGTCTTGCTAAACCCGAGGAAGAATTTTGTTTTGCAGTTTTGTAATGAGTACCCAAGTACCCAAGGGTATGCTAGACAATTTTAAGAAGGTCACCCCTCAAGATATTGTTTGCTCTCAGGTCTTCAATCCGATTAAACCTTCTCATTTGCAAATTGCATATAATTTTGATTCTTTCTCTTCAAGGAGGAATTCCATTTTGTTTTATATATGTATCTACCAGAAGAGTGGTGGAGTTACTCTGAAAGAGGAGGAGGTAGTTGTTTGTAACGTCAAAATTGATTTGACTAGTGGAAATCATAATCCTCTTGAAAGGTAATCAATGAAGAATAATCATGCTTGTTGAACATAGACATTTAGTTTGTTTTAACTTACTATAATGTTATCCTAATGCATTATTTTTCTCTCTTATGGTGCATGTTTCTGTGGCAGCATCCACTTTTTCAAGGTACATCGCCAAACCTACCTAACTATCTTTCATCAAGATATTTCTTTAATCTTCCTCTATATTAATTGGTTTTGCCTGTGTCTATATTGTATTAGTGGATTATATCTTTTTTTTGCACTATTAAACTTCTTACCTTATGCAGTTTGACAGTTTCCTTGCTAATAAGTTTTAATTTAAACTGTTTTATATTACTTCGTTGGGATACTCGGGCTGCAATTGTTCAAAATTATTGAAATATTTAAAGTGGTTTAGTTTTTCCCGATTATTGGTGCTTAGTTTGGAATTAAATTATGCTAGCTTTATTGAGTTACCTAGTTTCAATAATGCATTCAGGATTATGAAAGCAATGAGAAATTTACAATACCCGATGACCGTGTAAGCCACTTGCTACCTATATCTTACCAAGATATGATAGTTAAGGTGTACTCCAAAAAGGCTGAACTAGTTAGTTATCCTGTGCATGTTTAAACTTCTTTCCTTTACCCATTCAGGTTGGATTCACTAATATATTGCTTTGTGCAATCCTATAGGTACAGACAATTTCAGAGGCTTTTGAAAATTTTCAATTCAAGACATATGGGATCAAAGCATAGGCACATTCAACAGCACAAAAGAAGCGACGTTACAATTCAGTTTTATGAAGGGAAATGTATCATTACTATGATACTATTTTTTTTTTGTTCACCTTTATTATGTCTCACCCTTTCTTGGTATATATGCATTTTCTATAATTGAAATATAGTCTTAAGTCCACAGAAAACAATATTGACACCCTCTTAAGGTTGTGCTAGAGTTACCATATAAAAAAAGGCAATTATGTGTATAACAGATGTTTAAGTGTAACAGTTTCATTTAGTAGTACTTGGCAATGAGAAATCTTTTCTCATCATCGTTAGTTGGCAGTTTCAATTTGCAAATGTTTCTCAAATCTTAAGTTTATGACAAATTGGTCCACATTTCATGGATGAGAATGCATCTTAACTACTAACTACTAAACATTCATTATGTAATACAATTGTGTCCAATTGGAGAAAAAAAGTTGTCTAATGAACTTGATATAATTAAAAATGTAAATAAATAAAAATAATTAACTTTGTTATTAATTTAGCGACCGATTTAAATCGGTCGCTATTTTTTTAACTTTGTTATTGATTTAGCGATCGATTTAAATCGGTTATATATAACCGATTTAAATCGTCGCTATTTTTTTAACTTTGTTATTGATTTAGCGACCGATTTAAATCGGTCGTTATTTTTTTACTTTGTTATTGATTTAGCGACCGATTTAAAATGGTCGCTATTTTTTTTACTTTATTATTGATTTAGCGACCGATTTAAATCGGTCGCTATTTTTTTACTTTGTCACCACTTTAGCGACCAATTTGATATATTAATTTCGGTCGCTATTTTACGATCGAAATGAAAATCGGTCACTAACACATTAGCGACTTGGCTTTTTGCGACGACGCCTTTGGTCGTTAATTTCGATCGCTAGCTGATTAGTGACCGATTTTTTGACATTAGCGTAATCGATTTTTTCTGGTCGCTAAAATGAATTTTTCTTGTAGTTTGATTTTATTTCTATTAGTATTATGTTAAATATTTATATGTTATAGATACAGTCTTTATACAATTAATGTGATAACTAAAACGTGGATTTTTATGAAATTATTCTAATAAAAAAGTTTGTTTCTCCCAAAATTTTCTTTAAATTTTCTAAAATCTCATAAAAAAATTACAGAAATTTTTTTATAATATGAATTATATATATATATATATATATATATATATATATATATATATGCATCTTATAAAACATTTTATAATACATAAATATACAAGATTTTACGTGGATAGAGAAAATTAATCAAGTAGACGAAGCTGAAATCATTAAAAAATAAAAACAAATTACTGTATAAATTTTATATCCTCTTCAACAATATACCATAGACCGTGAGATTGTCCACAATTAAAATGTTAAAATATTTTATATTATTCATTTATTTTGATATTATTTATTAGTAACGAAAATTTTAAATTAATGTTAAAAAGAGCTTAAGACACTCACTAATAATACCATTTAAAAAAAGAGTGGTATTTTATTTTTTTAATATTATAGAACCTTCCTAATTCTTCTTATTTTTCAAGTGTTTAGTCATATTTTTACATTTTTATCTCTTTTTATTTTGGATTTTTTTTTCACTCTTCTATTTTTTTTCTTGCCCTCATTATTTCATCTGTTTAATTTTTGTCTTTATCATGGTAAATTCCCTCTTCCGTATTTTTTCTCGTTGATAATAATTTTATTTATTTATTTTCATTTGAGGTTTTATATGTATTGGTTTTTCAGGTAATGACATTAGAGAATTTATGATAATAGACAAGTGGATGCATCAATAAAACCAACGGATTTAATCACTGAAAAAAAAAATCAAAACTAACTTTTTTATATTAATTAAACTTATAATTAAACTTATAAAATTCCTATATCACCTGTATTTATATTAATTGTAAATTTATATAAAAAATTAAAATTATTCTTTATAAAAGTATTATATATATATATATATATATATATATATATATATATATTTAATAGTGATTGAATAACAAGATTTGATAAACTAAGTCAAATCTTCACCAGGTTAGCTAGATAAATTTAAAATTTTATTATATTATAAAAAAAAACGTATTGTTTAAGAATAAAGGTGTATGATCTCATATTTATTTTATTAATATTGTTAAAATTAATTTTTATGTTTATTTTGAAATTTTCGTTCATCAATTTTATTTTTTAAAGACAAATTTTAAATTTTAAATTATTATGAATGAAAATTAAAAAATCAACAATATTTTAAATATAAAAATTAATTTTAATAATATTATTATAATGAATATGAAATTGTAGAATTTTTTTAAACAAAAAATATTATTTAATAAAAAAGTGACGAAAATGTTAACAAATAACTTAAAAATAATAATATTTATTGAGAGAATATTTAGTAATAAAATCATATCTATACGAAAATTGAAATATTCAATGTTACTATAATTTTTTTAAAATTTTAAGTGGGTTAAAAAAATTATTAATATTAATTTTTAATATAACTTAAAATTTTTATACATATATATATATATATATTATTTCAAATTGTTATTTAAAAAAAATAGCAAAATATTTAACAATTAATTGATATGATATAAGACTAAATCGTGATTAAACATAAAATTTAAATATTATATATATATATATATATATATAAATAAATAATTTTTGTTCGGGTGACTTGTAAATTAATCTAACTCGACCAGTTTAACACCTTACATAATTTGTAAATATGACAAATAACATACAAGAGTATTTAATTTTTAAAATAAAAAATGTAATAAAATGTGTTGAATGCAAAGCTGGAATTTCTTATTTTTGAGGCAGTACAAGAAAACCTTCGGATAGCACCTAGGTTACTGTATTTGTGGGCCTCTGTAGCGGTGAAAATAAGTGTTGTTCTCATGGACAATTGATGAAATTCAAATGCTACTTCCACAAATAACTCCTTCGGATTTTAGAAAAAGGAAAAAAGAGGGGTTCTTCTTCTACCATGCACCTTTTAAATGGGTTATTGTTCATATTCCAATAACTAGTTTTGTCAAGCATATTAGACATACTCTCATGGATTCAACCTTATTTTGGTTTAAGAGGTACACCTCTTTTCATTCTGTCTCTTGTTGCTCTCAAATCAAAACTTTGAGCTCACCAAACCCTCGTCTACTGCTAAAATTGCATTCTCAGTTACGTACTGTCTTCGCCTTTACACCAACCATGCCAAACTTTCATCCAATATTGTCATCCCCGAGAAAGAACAAAAATTGCACAAAATAATACGCAGGTCTTTTATGATGATGCTTGGTTATTATGAACTCATAATTTCCATAAATTTGAATTAATTATACGAGTTATACACAGTTTCAAGTTCAACTATTTTACTTGGTCAAAAGCTAATCATTAAACTCTCAATAGACCGTAAGGTGGGTGAATAAAAGGAAAAAAGGGGTTGGTTAAAGCCAAAATGTATGCGCTCTTTAATTCAAAGTACCAATAAATTACCGATTTCGGTGAGAAATATAAATGATCAAATGAGTATTTTGAAATTATAATATAATATTATAATCTTTGGTGTGAATAAAATGGGACTAAATTTGAAGTGTTTATGGGATCCATGGTGATATGAAAGACTTGAAAATAGGGTTATGAATGGTAGATACAAGTTTATTGAGAAATAGAGTTAGGCTTAGATAGATAGATAGAGGAAAGGTGGAGGGAAACGTAAAATCCGGGTACCTTTTATTAGGACCCAAGTGTTCTATTGGGCTTCACTTTAGGACCCAAGTGGGTGTGTATTAGTTAAAACGGAGATTAAGGAAGCATCTCACCATCCCAAGAAAATAGAAATTCCGAAACGAAGGAATGAATGTTAGGTGTTTGGTGTTTGTCTCGAGAATTTAACCCCGCCCCAGGTGCGTGTTTGGACTATATTGAATATTGTCCCTGCTTCCCTACAAAACCTAAACACTACACTAATTTAACCCTTTCCTTTATTAAACAACACACTATTGTATTTATACTTTTACGTTGGTTATCATAAAAATTAATATCATTTTTTTATAATAATTATAATAGAAATATTTTACAATCAACGTAAAAACTAATATAAATATTTTAATAGTTATTGTTCAACTGCTTAGGACAACTATCGTAAAATTTCATTATTAAAAATTATTTTTTTATCAATATATGCAATCAAATCACTTTTTTTATGAAACCAATCATGAAATTATTATTTCTTTTCCTAATTTTGTTTCCATATTATATGCAACTATAACAATTTTCTAGTGTATGCTTAGATACGTGATACCAAAAAAAAATACTTACACTCTTAAAGTATTATATTTTTCGTTTTTCATTTTTGTCTTCGAATTAAGGAGCATAAATTGAAATTTCTAAAAGCATGTTCCCAACATAACCTAAGTATACAAGGTGAAATTAGTTGTTTATCTTTAATTTTCTCTTGTAAGATTGTATAAACAGCAAATAATAAAAACCCTATCATTTTAACATACTCTCTATTATTAATTAAAAAAATAGTGGATCTCGTTTTAACATTGAATATGTATTTGTCGATTTATTATTTTTGCAAAAATAAAATAAAATAATGTCACCAAAATACATTGATTGAGAGGTCACCGGTATATGGTGCTTTAGAAAATGATGGTTGAGAAAAAGGACCAAAAAGATGGGAAAAAAAATCAATTAAAAAAATATTAATTTACAACCAGTTACCGGTTAAAACATTGAACCGTCCGATTGTTTTACTAAGTGATCTGACGGTGAGTTTTAGTGGTCCACCGATAGACCATTTGCTACACTTGTTGACACTAGATTTCACAAACATCATACACTTATAATTCATATTTTCACCTCAATTAAAAGAAAATTGTAGAAACCAAAGTAGAATTGACTTTCCATATCCAAAACATGTTTTGGGACATGTAATCATTTCTTCATCCTCTTTCTATCTCTCTCCGATTCTTCTTCTCTTCTATTGTTTACACTTTTTTTTTTTACTTTAATACTTTCTCTTATGTAATATAAAAGACAGAAAATATAATTTACAATATCTTTTTAATTTATAAAACATCTCCCTATAATGAAGACAGAATAAAATTAATACTTATATTATCTTTTTAAACAATGTTATGATATTTACCAGTGTTTTTATGTGGTTATATTACTTTTAATTTGAACTGTAGTGATATATTTTTCAAACCTTTTAAGAAATATACAATGATTAAAACCGTAAATTTTAAGAAATAATATTTAAAAAGTTATCCTAAAAAATACAATAGTTTAACTAAATTATAAAGCATACTTAAATGCAATTCAAGCGTGGTTTTATGAACCGTGTGATTTTATTTATTCCAACTTGGCAACTACAATCCAAAGTGAGAAAAATATTAAAAAAAAGAGAGGGGAACTTTTGAAGAAAGAGGGACCTGAATGGAATTATGGTGATTGATGAGGGTGAGGAGAGGAAGGGAAAAGAGGACAGAGGTTGCTTGCGCAAATCTAGCTAATCTGGGCTTTCTGGGGCAACCAGTGGAGAAAGAAAAGGTTTGAGATTTGAGTTGAGTTGGGTTGAGAGAGAGGGAGGGAGGGAGAGAGAGAGAGAGAGAGAGAGAGAGAGAGGACGTTAAGGCAAAGAAAGGCAACACCACAACACAACGCAACACAACACCAACACAGAGAAAGCAGAAGAGAAGTATCTCCATGACCAAACCGTACAGAAAAAAGGCACACCAACCATTCATTTTCTTTTGCCCACATTATGTTTGGACAGACAATCACAGTGGGACACAACCAACCAGCCACTCCTTCACCTCTTAGCTAGTTCCCTCACCTCTACCTTCTTCCACCACAACCCACCCTTTTACCCACAATTCTTCCCTCCCCTTTTCACCCTTTTGCACCATCCACCTTTTCCTCACCTCTCCAACACACTTCTCCCATTCTTGTCACTCATGCTTTCTCTTTCACCTCTCCGGGGGTTCCCCTGGCTTTGGTGCCAGCTCAAGCACCACTGGCTACACCAACACCACCAAAATATGGCCGCAGACTGTGGGACCCAACAACAATGGTTTGTCTCTCACTCAACCATCCTTGTGAGGCAAAAGGGTTCCACTGAACTCCAATTCTCGCCTGTCACTATGCTCTTCTTGTTTTTCTTCTCTTGATTATATCATGCTGCCGGTGGTGATATTGGCTAGATGGCTCAATCTGTTAGCTTAGTGGTATTAGCATTTAGCACTTAGCATTGCTATTATTTTTGTTTACTTACTCTCTTTGTAACCAATGTTAATATGCAAGGAGTGGATATTTCAAATTCAAAGCAAATATCATGTTACTTTGCCACTTTTTTTTTTAAGTTTATCTATCATGATCTGAGTTTGCTGACTGAATTTTTGGATTTGGTAAAACAAAACAATTTTTGCTTTTTGGCTTTGTGTGTTTTGAATTGAAGGCCTGGGAAAGAAAGCAAGGAAGGAGGTAGACGTTTCTTGGTTTGAGCTTTGGGCTGCTACATTTTGCAGTAAATGGGGATGCACCTAATCCTGTAGGATTTTAGTCAGTGATGCTTTAAATTTTGGGGGTCCCTTAAGGTACAGACTACAGACCCTTCAACATCCAAACAATCTTTTATTACCGTTTCAAATTTAATGTCAGTCTTTGCTTCTGTCTCTTTTGCAAATTTTATTGATTTTTCTTGGGCAATGTGGGGTTCCTCATATTAATAAGGGGGGTCAAAAAGAGACCCATTTCTAATAAATTACTAGCCCCAATTATCGTTTAAACTTTAGATTAATAAAGTAGTATTAGTTCCCTTCAACACCTTCCGGTACCCCATAACGAGAAAATTGAAAATCACCTTATAACTTCTGAATTTGTTATTTTTGATAGTGAAAATCACGTTTATAAAGTGGTTTGAATTGAATGTGTTGAGTAATAGTGTGTTGTGGTTTTTATATATATTGTCCAATCAGTGTGTGTTTATGAGGGTGGGTGAGATGACAATGCAACAGATGAAGTAGGGTCTCGGGTTGCAAAACACTGAAATTGGCAGTCCAAAGGAGCTGTGTTGAGCACAATCATAGAGCATTTTATTTTATTTTTCTTGCATAGCGAAAAAACTGGGCTAGAACACAAAACCAAACACAAAGACAAAGAAAGTTGAGCTACGGATGACGAATGCTTCTTTAGTCTATTTGCAAGTGTCCTATCAATTGTGCACCCAAACTCCTCTTTTCTCTCGATCCTTTTAGTTTTAGTATGCACGTGAAAGTGGAGATTCTGCCCTGCACCATTTAAAGGAATAAAGCTTCAAAATTAAAACCACAATAAAACGAATATGATTCTTCCTCGGAAGTGGACCTGTCTTCTTCTAACCACTGATCCTAACCATTCAATTAAACCTTCTTGCTTATCTTGCTTAACTCAATCGCATCATTTTTCAAACTCAGTCCCTTGCGTCACTTCAGTTACCTTCTTTGAAAGAAAAGAATATGACCTGTTTGTACACTACCCTTTACGCCACAACTTCAATTATTAACTATAACCAGCGTTTAGCGTGACAGCAAAAACAACACCCGACCAATCATTCCCTCTTCCCTTCTCTGCATATTAATAATGCTTTTGGGTTTACATTATCATGTTTTTGTCTCTGTCATATTGTTTATTCTTACTTTTGATTTTGATATCTTTAAATTTGTATTCTTTTTTACTATCCGAGTACGTATTCTTGTTGGGTCTTGTGCATCTCTTTTAACATGGCATTGATGCAATTAAGCCCCTCTTGTATTATACATATGAACTTGTTGAAAAGAGAAGCAACGAAGGACAAGAAATAAAGAAAAACATCACATGCAGTCGTTGAAAGCAGCATGCATAAGCACATGAACTACACCTACTTTCCAAACGAGCCTTACTATGTCCATTTTCAAGTCAATAGCAGAGTGTAGCTTTCACATACCAAACCAATGATTTAAAATAAGCATTTTAACCAAAAACCATTGAGCTGAAAGGGTTCACACTTCAAAGTGACTAGAGATCATTCATCTCAGTGCGTTTAGATAACACAAGTATCAATTCCACTCCACAAAATCATGATAACGTTGATGGTGTTTTGTTTTCTTAATATGAAGTTGATCCAAACACATAAATGTGCATTTTTATGCACTTAAAGTGTATCTAACAAGTTCCTGAAAGTATTTCCACGAAGGAGAAAATACATTCATTATTGAGAGAAATCTGACTCGTTAATTTACGTAAGATTATGTAACTCTTTTAACCTTTTTGTCTGAAAAATAATTAGAATAGTGTGATTGTAAGGAAACAATACGGTCCCATAGGCCATAATTTAGAAGTACTTTGTACATTGTCTTCATGATAAGTTCGTGCCCTGCTTCTCTTTTTGTTTCCATATTGGACTTGTAATATAGATCCATGTTGTCTTGGCAACTTTGAATTTTGGAGTCAGGTTTGGCCACGTGACTTGAATCCAACAAAATTTTCCATACTAATTGGAAGTTAGCAAATGACAGTGTTGGAACTACCAAGTTTAGTTATCAAAAAAGTGAAAAAGAAAAAAGAGACTTGTTTAAGAAAAACATAATTTTATCAATAAGTAAAGCATTTTTATGTACTAATAAGAACTAAGTGAGATTCACAAACGTTAATTTTCACCTTGGTTCTATCACATTTTAACAAAATTAACTTAAATGACAATTGACAAAGTGAGTGAAAAATGCATGATATTTGAACTAAATAACTTATATATTGACTTAATTATTGTATCATCATTGTATGTGAGTAACCTCTTGTATTTATTGCAGCCGGCAATATAATTTTTCATTTTATTCTTGCCTAGTAAAATATGGAAAAACATTACTGTACATAATTTATTTTATTAACATCAGCTTTAAAAGGGTTGAAGGTAAAGATATAAGGTTTTTCTGAAAAATAAAACTATTATATTAAAAATACAAAATTCATTTTATCTTTCTCAATAAGAAGTTTATTAATCTTCTTATAACACTCTTTTACAAGGGTCTTATTAATAATGAGTGTGTTATGATTACTAATTATAGTAAAAAAATAATAAATTCTAGTTTTACTCAAAATTACTGTAAGAGGAAACTACAAAACATAACAGAGTGCATAAATTACTGGCCCCTGCAATTTTTTACTTTTAACCCTCTCAAAGGATACCAATTCACATTTTTTTTCATAAATAAAAATATTAATAATATGTTTTATGTACTTTTTAAGAATGGTTGAATTTATTAAATTTCATAACATTTAGTTTCATAAAATAAAAAGTGAAAGTTAAAAAATTTAATGAATCTCAAATGATAAAAGGTAAATTAAAGTAAGATATGGCCACCCCATTTCACTGTTCCAAAAGAGGAAAGCAGATAGAGAAAAGAACAGGAGGTAAAATAGTGAGACCACAATCATGATTGGATATCATATATGTGCATTCAATATGTACATTTATAGTAGTAAAATTGAACAAAATATTTTTCTTCACTCTATAGCACTTTGTTAGTGGCATAAAGAGTACAAAAAGACTCAACACCTAAACTATCAATCCAACACTTTTGAATGAAAGTATTCACAGGTGAATGCCAGGAGAAATTTAACAGCATTAAAGCAAAGGCAAACCTAAACAAGTTTCAGCTCACAAATTAAACATGGATCACTGTTCTACATCTTCATTTTCAACAGTAAATAATAATAATATTCAAAATTCTTGTTGCATTAAATTAAATGGCATTAACAATACAGTATGGTAATAAATTAGATTCACATTAAAATTGAGGGCCTCTATATTTGTGATTTGAAGCAGTGAATTGTACAGTGATTTATCCATGATATTGGGCTGCAGCCTACAAAAGCTAAGGTCCAGGAGCAGGGACAGGCACCATTTACGGCAAAATAGAAAAAGAAAAAGAAATCGCAACATGTAAAAGTTTAAACTGCACATGAGGGTGCAGCAGTAAATATAATCATCAATCAACTTTATCAGATCAGATATCTTTTTTCACATTTTATTTTCTTTTATCTTTCTTTCTTTTCGTCAATTTATTTGTCTTCAGTAAACACAAGTTCACGAGAAATTCTAAAAGGACACATTCACTAGACCTCAACAAGTCATAGAGTGTACTTGAGAATACTAGTTTTCTGCACGTCTTCTAATTCATCATATATGGGTTAGAGAATAGTGCATGTCTTCTACTTCATCATATATGTTGAAGCCATAAGTATACTTGTTTTCGTGCCTTTGGTCTCCATCACAATTTTCAAGCTTCTTTAACAAATGCACTGTTTTTCAACGTAAGTTTTATTTCTAACGACTTAAGACAAAAGCCCTAACCATGGGAGAAAACAAATCAGTAGAAAATGTGAACGAACAAGATGGATACATAATCGCAACTTACATGCAGACAACTTCATAGAAACATTTCACCCATAGTTATTCTTTATCTTTTTCATCCAAAACTTTGAAGGTTAAACTAAAGATATACTGAATCTTTCCGGGTAGGGGATGTAAATCTTGGCTTTTTGCATTGCAGCCTTACTTATGTCCCTTAGTAATAATAGTAAATAAAGTAAAAACAGCTACACTCTCCAATGATGTTGATTAGGGAATGTTCTATCTTTATTTTGTATATGGTCCTACGTTCACCATCCATTTTTATCAATATTTCTATTGATGACATATGGTCCTTCCTTTCTGTTCTTGTAGCCCTACATTCAGGATCCATTTTCATCGATTTCATTCACATAAAAATTTTCATAAATCATCGAGGGAACAATTGTAAGCTCCAGGATTTACTGAAGTGAAACTGTTGGAGTATAAGTGTGCACATTAAATAAAAATATATAACTTAATCAACATATAAAGTGATGAAAACAAATGTAATTATCAATGGATAACGAAATGAATAAGTTATATTCGTTACTCTGTAGACTTCTAAAAAGATGCTCCAAATATGAAAACTCTATTCAAATTGGTGTTACAATTTACTGCATTATATCAACTTAAAAACTGCAGTGATGAATATTCATTATCTCTAGAATTACTAAGGAATTATACTACTTCATAAGGAATACTTGAAAGAAAAAAATGTGATTGTTCAGGACCAAAGTGGTAGCTTATTCTTATTTTTATACCTCTGTTGGCCCAGAAAAAAATGTAAGTTTTCTCTCGACATTTATCTGCATAGAATCATATCCGTTTCGATGATTCACAGATTGAAATCAAATCAGGATAACCAGATACGTCAGAAGATTGTTCATGCGCAAAACTACCATTGGCTTTTAGCTTTCGCTTTGTTTCAAGTCATATACGTATCCTGACTCACTTGGTCATAATTCTCAGTTCATACTTCAATTATTGATACCAACGTACTTGCCAACCTTATGAGATTTCTCAAAGAAAAATGGTTAATGTACTCCAAGTGTTTGTAGGGAACAATGTTTACTCGTTCCTTTTAACAAAATGCCTTTAGATCCTCCTATAATTAATTTTATACTGTATTATTAAGTCATTGATAATACTTCACTGCCCAACTGCTTCCTCGGGAGAATATGTTCTTCTATCTTGCAGGGAAGACTTTGAGTCTTGAAGTAATATATTAAAAATGTTTTCTATGAATATTTTAAGTAAGGTTTATGTTAAAATCATAAAATTGCTAATGGGTAATGCTATTCAGACAATATCTTAGCCATAACATTCTTATTTTATGTTCTCATCTAAGAATATTAAATGTCTACTGATGAGAAAGTCTCAACATCAGTGACAGTAGCAGTGGATTTTATACACAAGTTCTGTTATTTGATAGGAAGGGCTTATAGAAATATATTATTTTAACGTAGTTATCAAAGTTAGAATTACTTAAAAAAATATCAGAATTATTTTAAAACAGGTCAGAATTGATTTATTCTTAAGAACTCTTCTTGGAACTGAACTTGCATCCAAGATGTTATAAGATTATTGTATATTGATTACTGTGATACCTAACTATGATTTGTTCCTCTAGTAGAATAATATGAAATGTTGAATAAAGAATTGAAATGTTTGATTGTATTTAAAGAGTGAATTTCCTAAATGTTTGGATGGTTCTGAATTACCGCATCTATCAGTTGCTTAAATTAGTGGTTTGAAAAGAACATATCATCTTTTAGACAGTTTTATTGTTGCATTCCATACACATTGACACTGACAGCGAAATCTCAAGCTGCCTCACTATAAAAGCATATGTATTGTAAGGTGTAAAATACTCCTTGCATGTGCTTCAATATGCAGCCATGTCAGTTTTTTTATCCACGTCATGTTTCCTGTGTGTCTCTCTCTATATCAACAAGAGTTCCAAGAGAGTCTTCAATTGTACACTTGTTTGCATAAAAATAAAAATAAAATAAAATAACATAAATTAAAATTAGTCCATGAAATGGATGCAGCTTGAAAACTTGAAATGAGAATCAAAATCTACCCTACATGGTTTAACTATCTAGTGTTCGAAACCAAGCAGAGTGTTAAGATTTTAATATCAAAATCTAATAAGCAAGAAGTGGGGATGCCATGGCACTTTGTCCTAAGTGGGAAAGGCATATTTGATCTATACACACAGATTTTTTTTATTTTTTTTTTCACTTTAGCACAAGGTGATAATGATAAGTGGCAATACCAATTTCAATTTGTTCTTAGTCACCACATACTACTTATTGGATCTACCCACGACCTTTTCTATTGGACTCAAATTTAAGTAGGTGTTTCAAATATTATAAGGAACACTCAATTTTAAATATTGGTTTGATCTATTCACTTCAAAGCTAAGACTACACATCCAAGGAGCATTGATTGTATGTAGCATTAGTTGGAGTCTTGCAATTTTATGTATTTTTAGGAACATGATATATACACGTAAGTTCGAAAATATAACCAATAATATATTTATTTATTTATTTCATATAATCATAGTCAATTTACATATTCAATCTATTTTGTTGCAAGAATTCTCGGATTAGTCCATGAACTTGAAATTGCATCAATTTAAATAAAATAGTTAAACAAAAAAATCATTTAATATTTTTGGTTTTAGTTTGATAGATTTTCACTTATTGTATATTTTATTATTGTAATCTAAGGAGCGAAAAAATAAAGAAAAGAAAAAAAATTATAAACTCTCCAACCTCGTATTAGAAAGATCAATAGAATTTGGATCTAACCGTATGGGTTTGAGTTTGGGCTTGTATTGGCTCAAAATTCCAAGAAACCCAAGATCCACACTAACTAAAAGCAGGACATGTTGTGACGGTGTGACCCCGAAAGTGGGAAACAAATGATCTCACATTTTGTAGTCGATACGAGACTTGGCCGAAAGGAAAAAAAGTTAATAAGAATGAAGGAATACAAAAGAAGCCATGATAAATTTATCATTGAAACAGTGTCAAGAGAATTCAATAATCGACCAGGCAAGATAAAATGATTGTTTAAATTACAGGCTAGCACATCAAACCCAATCATAAAGCGAAAACACATTAACATTTGATAAAGGTAAACCAGTCCAGAAAATCTTCAGGAATAGAATCCAAGTGTCGTGGTTTACAAAGGAATATAAGATGGAGAGATATAGGTAAAACTAGCAATTTTTGTAACAGATTATTTTAGTTTACCCTAATTTGAATATGTTACGATTTATGAGTAGCTATCTGCATAAATATAAGCTGTTAGTTCGTATTTCATTGTTCAAATTATTGTTTTTCTTTCTTTTGATTGACTATTAACTTGTAAAAAAATTGATATAATTATGTCTTGAATTGTTATGAAACAACTTAATTTATATTAATTCTAATATTTTTTTTCCCAATATAGGACGAATTCGAGAATACTTTGATACAAGAAGTAAGGAGCACAATTATCGAGTATAATTGGAGTAAAATTAAAAGAAAAAAACTCTTAAGCGAATGAATGATATGAGGCTCAACCCAAATTCTCTTATAAAAAGATAAGTTGTGTTTTGAGAAAAACAAACAGTCTTGGAGAGGAGGAGACACGGTTACTGTTTAGGGTTTTGTTCAATTTTCATCAATTCTTCACTTTTTCATCAATTGAAGAATTGTAATGGCCAACATGAGTGACTAACTTCATTCTTTTAGGATTTGGTACACTTCCTTTGAACTCTTTTGTATCATGGTGATATTTTGAGATATTAATCTATGTTTTGATGTTGTTATTCTTATCTTTTATGCTTTGAAATGATTTATTCTTGATTGTTTGATGTATGATTGAAAAATATATCTTGAACCCTAGATCACGGTAAGAATATTTGTTACGTTAATTATCAGGAATTGAATGAATGTATCAATTGCTTAAATACCCTAAACCTAATGTTGGAAAATCTCTTAATTGTGTGAGGAATCAACATTTATTAGGTTTTCTTATGAATTTCATGTGTGAGGAATCAACATGGATGATTTGAGTAGGTGATGACATTAACATTGTTAGATTAATTGACATAACCATTACAAAAGAGAGATAAGGAAGGAAGTCAATTCTAAGTACTTTAATTATATTTTCTCAACATTATAGTTCTTTGTCATTTAATTTCAATTCAACTCTAATTTGCAAAACTCAATCTATTTAATCTACTTAGTAAGCATAATTAAAAATTTCTATTGAAACATCGATTTAATTGAAATACTAGATGGATCATTTTGATAGGATTGTTAATAATATTGACTTGATTATTCTCCTCTCTAATGTGCTATGATTTAACATTTTAACCTTTTAATAATGCATGATGAACCTTTTGGAATTGACCTTGGGTTATTGGGATTAGACCCTGCACCACTCAGCCAATTTGATGGTACAAAAGAAAACAAGTGGGTGAAGCAGCTTGTGGGAAGTGTGGTTCTTTATGCTCTAATGATTGGGATCATGGATGATGAGCAAGTACAATTTCTATCTCACACATGAGTGCATAGAGAGAGATCATAACTTCGATAGGCATTTAAATGCCTGCTACTGTACACTATAGTGGAATAAGTCATAAAGGAGGATAAATCACGTCCAAAACAAATGAAGCTTTCAAGTAAACCAAATTCCAAGGTTCAAGGAAAGTTAAAATTAGAAAATATTTTACAAGAGCCATTGCAATGGAATTGTGTTAGGAAGATGGATAGAAAAGAAGTTTATGGTGAATAGTGAGAAAGTGTTGTTCCATGAAGGTGGCTGTGAAGTGGTAAAGCTGAGAAAAGGTAGGGGCATGACACATTGACACAGGTTTGTTGTTGGGTCACTTTTTTGGTTTTCCCAATTCAAAGTACTCTGCTAAAGCTTTCGTGTTTTGAACTGAGATGAGAAAGAAGAGGGGAAGAAGCAAAAGAGAGCATGGCATTGGCATTGTGGTTCGTGGAAGGAAGATAAGGAATCAAGTTCCAACAAGAACAACATGGAATGGAAGAAGAATAAACGCACTCCAACGAAGATTTTGTGTCTGCAATAGTGGAGATTCCCACGTTACCACATTGCATTGCAACATCAATTCAATAAACACACAAACGCATGTGTAGTGTAGCTGCTCCACCTATTCCCTATCAGTTTCAAAAAAATCTCTTGTAATGTTTAGCTTAATCTCAACAAATTGTTAACCAAATTAAGATTTTGGTTAAATGAATTGGAATGGTTGGGCCTAGTAAAAAAGTAAAAAAAAAAAAGATTAAATATGTGAGTGGCAAAAGTAAGATAAGGGATGGACCCAGCAGCGTTCACTTACTCACATTGGCTGCGGAGTGCAGGGAGAGGAAGGAGGTAAGTAGTCGGTGTCAAATCAAGGCAGCTTTGCTTTATGAGTATGATGATCAGTACATCCAATGCCTTTTTCTTTCCCCCTCTTTCTCTCATCTTTCAATTCTCATTCACATAAATACTTCTACACAATCAATAATTTCAATTCTCATTCTCATGTACTCTCGTACTCCTATCCCTGTCTCTATTTTACTTACTATAAAGCTCATAAATCAATATAAACTACTTAAAAATCACCTACAAATTTGATTTTTTATCTTTATGCTATTTAGACGCAGGGTGGATATAAAACGCTAAATTTACTGTATAATTTATTTTTTAAGTCAACTAATGTTTATAGGTTTTGAATTACACGCAGATTTATTAAAAAGTAGTAATTAACGGCTTTAAATATATATAAAATAAAAAATTTAAAATATTTAATAATAATTTAAACAAAATCATGTTTTAAATGTATATATATATATATATATAATCTCACGTGTTAATTTTTGAGAATCATGGATGAAAATTACAATATAAATATTTATCTTTATATATTTAAACAATAATACAGGTAATACTTATGTAAAACATAACACTTTATTTTACGAAAATAAACATCTCATTATTTTATCCGTGTATCAATTATTAGTCCAAATTTTGACCACATAATGTGTTTAAAATTTTACATTTATTAAAATATAAGTTGTTATATTAATCACAATCTGAAAAGCTATATATTTATTTTAATTAACTGCAGTAAAATAAAAAATAATGAATTAAAATTAAAAACAGTATTTACAAGATAAATAAAAAAATTAATAAAAAGTATGCATTGATATCTTCTATTTTTCATTTGTATTTTCTTCTTCTCCAAAATAAAATAAAATAATAATTATAATTAACTTTTTAATAATTATCCTTGAGACATTGAATAATAAAATAAAATAGTTTTAATTAAATATAGAATTTAGCACACGCTTCGCATAATTCTATCAATTTTTTTATGTTTATTATAAACATCAATAGTAAAAGATAAAGTTAAATGTTTAGATAATTCTTTTCATAAAAAAACTATTATGCAATATATATATATATATATATATATATATATATATATATATATATATATATATATCTATAGCACTTCTAAAATATTTAATTTAATTTTTTTTTGTCTGAATACTTTTTTAGAATAAAGTGTTGAAAAAATACTAATAATGAAATAAGTAATTAAATTATAATTTTATAAATTTATGATTTTATTTATATTTATGAAATCAATTTAAATTTTAAGGAAATTAAATTTATTTTAATTTATATTTTTTGATGCAGCTTATGTTAGTTTAATTTTTAGAAAAGCTAATTTTATTTTATATCAATATTTTATGACGTGATCTTATTTGAATAATATTTTAAGATAAATTTTTATTTGAATTTATATTTTAAAAAATATTTTTAAAACAATCTTGATAAAATTTTAAAAAATACAAATGAAAAATGTTGATAAATTTTTGTAGACACTCCCTAATACTAGGTAATTTATAAATAACAGCAACAACAACCCATACCCTTTGGATCGGTTTGGGTTTGTGACCCGTAACAGTAAACACCTTGCCATTTGCAATGATAAAAGAAGGAGAAAATAAAGAAACCTAACTGTAAAAAAAAAAAACACGTGAGAAAACATTCACAATGTATTATTATTTATCTTATTTTTATATGAATTTAAACATTTTATATAAACACAAAATAACCTTTATATATATAATACTAGTATTTAATATTCTCTATTAAACATTTCAACAAAATTTATAAATAAACTAATTTATTAGATATCATTAATGTGTTGATGAAACCATATTGGAACAACTACAATTCAGTGAGCAACTGAATCAAGGACAAAAAAACATGTTAAATTAGTCTACAAAATATACAATTTTAATAAATTCTATCCAATAATAAAAATATAAGTAAAAAGATGAACAAGTGTGTTATTATTATTATTATTATTATTATTTCTCTGTTAAAAAAAATTATGATAGACAGTAAATTAAAAAAAAAAAAAAGGCAGTAGAAGGCAGCAATATACAGTATAGTCGGGGACTGCAAAGCAAAGCAACATCTGATGGACGTTTTGATTCTCGCGGGCTTCTTCACGTTCTTCTGCTGAGCGAAAAGCAAGGCACGCAGAAGAGAGAGAAAGCAAAAAAGGAAAGAGATATACCAAAAGAAAGAAGAGGAGAGAGAAATAGAAAAATAAAGAAAAGATTGGTTTGGTGTTGAGTTGTGTTGTGTTCTGATATGTTTCCCAGTTCAGTCTAGTCTAGTCTAGTCTCATTCGTAGCACCAACCTTTCTTTCATCCCAACTTCCCTTTCTCAAATATCATTCATCATGCTCCACTCTCCCTCCTCTTACACACTCATGGCTCTCCACTCCCTCTTTCTCCTCTTCTTCCTCTCTCTCTCCTCTGCTTCTCAGCCTCGCAACCCCGAAGGTAAATAACCATATCTAGCCATGTTTATCATGTTAATTGTTAATACTAATATCAATGGATTGCAGTGGAGGCTTTGATGAACATAAAAGCAGCTCTAAATGACCCACACGGCGTGTTGAATAACTGGGATGAATACTCCGTCGACGCTTGCAGTTGGGCCATGATCACTTGCTCTTCGGATTACCTTGTCATAGGCCTGTTAGTACTAAACATTTCCGCTCTCTCTCTCACACACACTTTTTTTTCACTTTTCCTGCATTTGCTTTTCTCACTTTCATTTTTCTATCTGCAGAGGAGCGCCTAGCCAATCTCTCTCTGGAACTTTGTCTCCAGCAATCGGAAATCTAACAAATCTTCGTCAAGTGTTAGCGCCTTCCCCTCTTTGCAACCTCTTATTTTTTGTCTTTTTCGTATTTTACTATTTTCTTTATGTCTGTAATCGTGTAACGGTCATCTACTGCCAAATGGGTAACTGCCATGATTCTCATTCTGTGCAAAGTTTTAGATTTTTGTTGTTATGTCCTATGGGGTTTGGAGTGTTCTGAAAGCGGTTTGGTGGTTGAATGCAGATTACTGCAGAACAACAATATCTCAGACAATATACCACCGGAACTTGGAGCCCTTTCCAAGCTTCAGACATTAGACCTTTCCAATAACCGATTCTCGGGGGCGATTCCTGCATCTCTTAGTCAATTGAATAGTCTCCAGTACTTGTGAGTAATTATTGTTTCATTGATTTTTAGTCCTGAATTGCTAAATAAAGTGTGGGAAATTATTTAAGCAACAATTGACTAATGCCCACTATATGTTTTTTAGTTGTTGACTTTTTTTTTTTTTTTAATGTAAAGTTTATTATTTTATTTTGAGATTCTGTTGCTTCTTTTTTGGATTCAAATTTTGTTGTGTAAATTATGTCAAGCAATTAATTTATTTACTGTTTCTTTGTTCAAAACGGGAGCAGGAGGCTCAACAACAATAATTTGTCCGGATCCTTTCCCGAGTCACTGGCAAAAACCCCACAGCTTGCTTTCTTGTGAGTGTAGTTATATCATTGCTATGTAGTTCCCTCTTCTCACACGTCAGTGTCTTGAAAATCGAATAACCTGCCACTTGGTTCATTTCTTACCATTTGTCAATTTCTTTGCCAAAACTCTGATATGCTAAATCTATGCACTCAGGGACTTGTCTTATAACAATCTCAGTGGACCATTGCCCAAGTTCCCAGCCAGGTCATTCAAGTATGCTCTCTCTTTATTTCTCTTCTGTTTGTTTTGTGGACACGGTAGATAGTGTTATATTATTTCGAAGTGTCAACTGTGCTTTTGTCCTGATTCACTGTCACTTCTGTTTGTGTAGTATTGTGGGGAACCCATTAGTTTGTGGGAGCAGCACTACTGAAGGTTGCTCTGGGTCAACAACGCTCATACCAATTTCCTTCTCACAAGTGTCATACGAAGGTACGTCCTTTTCCCTTTCACTCTCTAGTTTTCTCATATTTTCTTTGGAAAACGTTTTTAATATGTATTTTATTTCTGTTAATAGGAAAACACAAGTCCAAAAAACTAGCAATAGCACTTGGGATCAGTCTTAGTTGTGCTTCTCTCATCCTCTTGCTTTTTGGACTATTTTGGTATAGAAAGAAACGACAGCATGGAACCATCCTGTATATCAGTGGTGGGTAGTACTGCAACCGAGTTTCTTAGATTGTATGTTTTTGAATTGGTATTATTATGTTACTAGTATTTATGGCTTTGGTTCTGTTTCAGATGGCAAGGAAGAGGGAGTTCTTAGCTTGGGGAATCTAAAGAGTTTCACTTTCAGAGAGCTTCAACATGCAACGGATAATTTCAGCTCCAAGAATATACTTGGTGCTGGAGGCTTTGGCAATGTTTATAGGGGGAAGCTTGGAGATGGCACAATGGTGGCCGTGAAAAGGCTGAAAGATGTAAATGGCAGTGCCGGCGAATCACAGTTCCAAACAGAGTTGGAGATGATCAGCTTGGCAGTTCATCGCAATTTACTTCGCTTAATTGGATATTGTGCTTCTCCAAGTGAGAAACTATTGGTTTATCCTTATATGTCTAATGGCAGTGTGGCCTCCAGGCTTAGAGGTTGGTTATTCTCTCCCTGACAGTGCTTTTTCCTGTGACCATATATAATATGAAATGTTTTGTTCAGTGCAATATTATACATTTTGTCGTTGTGCCTGGACCTTGTTTTAATCTTGTGATCTGCCCTTGTCATATTTTGAAGGGCCTCAATGTTGATTCCAAATTGTAATATAATATTGCTTGGGACGGGAGACATTATTTCTTTCCCTTTCTTTTTCTCTTGTTTTTGTAAAACAATTTGCAATTTTAAGCCTACTTTTTATTTTTAGCTTTAAAACATGTAATCATGTATTAATGCTTACAATTACCCATTGGTGTTTGTATTTTGCCAAATTGTTGTGATTTTGAATGATAGGAGGCTAGAAATGATCTGAATCCTCTGCTAATCAGGGGTACACCTACAAACAGTAGTTGGTAACTAATATCCTAATCATTACTTGATTAAATTTGAACTGATTGGATTACTTCTTGTCCGTTTTTCAAAACTTATTATCATAGGCATCGAATCCCTACTTCTGTTATTATGATAGAATTCAATATTATTTGTTTGTTTGTGGCTACTAGTACTAGCAAGAGTAACTATAGAATCAATGGAGTTTGCCTTTAAATAGCACAAGAAATGAAGTGTGGGAGGTTTTTTCTTTACTGCCTGTTACCTTCAAGTTTTTCTTTATTACTGGGACGGTAGCTATTGAATCTTAGTATTTCTTTGTGGCTTATTATCATGCATTTTACATGATAGGCAAACCAGCTTTAGATTGGAACTCTAGAAAGAGGATAGCAATTGGAGCTGCCAGAGGCCTTCTGTATTTGCACGAGCAATGTGATCCAAAGATAATACACAGAGATGTCAAGGCCGCCAATGTGCTTCTGGATGACTATTGTGAGGCTGTTGTTGGAGATTTTGGCCTTGCAAAGCTCCTTGACCATGCTGATTCCCATGTCACCACGGCTGTCCGTGGCACTGTTGGACACATTGCACCAGAGTACCTCTCCACCGGCCAATCATCTGAGAAAACAGATGTATTTGGATTTGGCATTCTCTTGTTAGAGCTCATAACAGGAATGACTGCACTCGAGTTTGGGAAAACGGTGAATCAAAAAGGTGCTATGCTAGAGTGGGTAAGTCTATTCTCTGCAACCTGAGCAAAACATTCTAAGCATTCCAAAATAATTGAAGTGATATCTGGTAGTTAGTCTAATATCTTTTAGCTTATTCAATATTTAGCTCGTCATTAGGAGTTCCTCGATTTTCTTTGAACGCGATCTTTTAAATAATTTGTGTTGATATCGCCTTTGGCTACAGCTTCTACCAAAAGGTCTTAATATTATTTATGAATTTGTCATAACTTAATATATTGAATGCTAGTATGGAAAAGGGAAACGGAAAATCAGTTCTTTAAATTTGTAGATTTGTTTTCTGTTATGTGCATTGTAGATTTTCTCTTAATAACTCAAGAACATGGTTAGTTATGTGTCGCTGTGGCTGGTCCAATATATTATTAGTTATTGCTGTTGAGCAGTGGGTGACTTCTGTTGCAGTTACCAAATTACAGTAGGGAATTTTCTATCTACAGATGATGAAGGATGATGCTTTTATTTTTCTTAAATATTTAGTATGATATTAATGGAATATACAGTGAATATAGGTAGTTGCTACTTGTAAACCAAATACCCCGGTCCCCCGCCCCTTGACAGAAAAAAACTACTGTTGAGTGCGGAGTAGTTGTTGATACTAGGCAGGTGATCTACCTGCTAGTAGTACGTATGCTTGAAATAGGTATCTGAAGGTTGGCTGAAAGAATTATGGACACTTGTGAAACTAGAGATGAATATTTGTCCCTATGTTGTGACAGGTTAGGAAAATACTACATGAAAAGAAGGTTGCGGTGTTGGTGGACAAAGAGCTAGGAAACAATTATGATAGAATAGAGGTGGGGGAGATGCTGCAAGTTGCTTTACTGTGTACTCAATATTTGACATCCCACCGCCCTAAAATGTCTGAAGTGGTTCGAATGCTTGAAGGTGACGGGCTTGCTGAGAAGTGGGCGTCATCACATAATTACGGTAATCACGACATGAACCCCAGCCATAGCAACAATAGTAGCAATAGTTCATCCCGCCCTACCTCTGCTTCAAAACATGATGATGATGTTCATGACCGTTCCAGCATGTTTGGCATGACAATGGATGATGATGATGAACAGTCTTTGGAATCCTATGCCATGGAACTCTCTGGTCCTAGATAAACAGTAAATGGGGAAAAGAAAACAGGATGGTAGAAAAGGAGAAGAAAGGAGTTCTCTTTCTCATGAATCCTAAATTAACTAGCTTTGGTTATTCTAGGATAATATAATCAAATCAAATGTGTATATATATTTATATATTCTAGAAAAGTTTTGTCATATTGGGTTTTTGTTGTAAATAAACAGTGAAGTACTAGTGCAGTTTGGTTGCCAAATATATAGTGGTAGGTGGGTGCGCAATACGCACATTAGACTTTGTATAGGGTTGGACAGGGAACATCATCAGATTCTTTGCTCTCGAGTGTGAAGCGGCAGAGACAAGAGGGTGTGTTCCGCAGAATGATATTTGACTGAAGATGAAGATGGGCATGCATATCTTGCAGCGTCCTCTCATATCATATGTCTTGTTAATGTATGTTCAAAACTTTTAAGTATCACAGTCTGAGCTTTTGAGCTGTTAGAGGTCATTGTCAACCTGATGCTTTGCAGGGTCACGCTTCCTCTTTTTCTCTATTTGGTGTCTTTTCGTGTGTTCTTTTTACCTTCCTGTCTTTGCCACTCCTGTAGTGTTGTGTTGCAATTTTTCCCCTTTTTTTATGATCTCCTTTCACTTCAATACCAACTCCAAAATTTATCTGTTATTAACATGCTCTAAATGACTGCTTAATTGCGATAATTGAGAGGGGTTTATGTTTGAATTTCAAACATATAATTTAGTCACATCTTTTGGGAGTAAAACGGACCATAAAAACTAACTCTAATGAGATCCTGATTCAGAAGACTAAACACTTCCTATTCGTGATGACAGAATCTCCTCCACTGGATTTACTTTCAAAAAGGATCCTCTTACCCAAACAGCTCCATTATCATGAAAGTTTTCTTCCTTTTTTTTATGGAACAAGAGAAATATATAAGGAGAGAAAATAAAAACTAAACAAGAAGAGAACAAAAATTCGTGTAAAATCAAGTTATCTTTAAAATATATTATTTATATATAATTCTACCCATTTAAAAACAAGATGAATATGTCTTACATTTTTTATATTTTAATTTCGGAGTGAATGAAACTCTTACGATATCAAATTTGAGAATAATTTATAAATTGATATTTTAAAATAGAATTTAATACATTCCAAAAATTAAATTTTCATAAATGGTTTGTGAGTTACTATGGAGTTTAAATTTAGAATTTAACACAGTACTTAAACTTTTAAAAATAATTTATATTACTTCTGAAATTTAAATCAACTTCAAAGTTAAGGATAAGTAATTTTTTTGTACAAAAGAAAAAGGCTATTCTTAAGTACGGTTAAAATAGGTCCTCACGCCTTATCGCGAAAAGTGTGACGCTCAAGTAATCAATTCAAATACTCTTCTGGAAATCTTATATATCCCCTTATGCTTTTAATATCAATTGAATTAACTTTCTTTTATCTCTTTCCATCGATCATTATCAGCTTTTTTTAGTTCTAATTTATTTGTTAAAATGTTTATTATTAAAAAATTATCTTAGAAGCATTTATTTATGTAATTTTTAGTTATTTGAAAAATTATACTGTACAATAGACAATACTAGTTAATAATAATAATTTTAAAGTAAAATGATTTATATTTTAAATATTTAATATTAAATTTGAAATTATTAAAAACGACTTAATGTTTGGAATTTAAAAATATCAACAAAATATTTAAAATATATATTATTTATTAAAAACTATACAATATTGCAATTAATCAACTAATATGATCTGTTGGATTTGAACTGAGTGAAACGATATTATATTTTGACGCAATGTATTTTAAAATATAAAATAGAAATTTGACTTTTAAAAAAAATTAATAACGGTAAAATATCAAATTTCTTAACCATTATCTATAAATACCCATCAGAAAAAAAATCAGAAGAAGCAAGTGGGACAAGGTATCAAGTTAGTTTGTGAATGGTGATTATTGGTAGGGATTAGGGAAGCTTCGTAGCAGCACTGAAACTGCGAACCCAATTGTTGTTGAAACTTAAATCAATGGCCAACCATTCTTCTTCGCCCTCTATCCTCTGCGCTTCTTTTAATCAGGACCTTAGGTCAATTCATGCTCTTCCAATTCCTTCCTTTTCCTCAAAAATTCCATTCAAATTCGCTCACCTCATTTTTTTTTTTTTGCAGTTACTTTGCCGTTGGCACCAGAGATGGTTTTAGAATATTTGATACCAATACAGGAAAACTCTGCTATGAAAGAGGTGAATTCAATTCCATTAATTAATAACTCTTTTTTTTTTTTCATTTAATTTCTTAATTTCCCCCCCTTCCTTCCTGCAGCTGTTGGAGCTTTTGTTATTGTTGAGATGATGTTTAGCTCTAGTCTTCTGGCTATCGTTGGTGCTGGTGATCAGGTACTGTACTCATGATTGCTCAACAAGGTTTGCCATATGGGCATGGACTTGGTCTTGAGCACTTGTTTGATTGTGGATGGATTTTACTGATACATGTACATGCAGCCATCCTTGTCCCCTCGCCGCCTCTGTTTGTTCAATAAAACCACGGGAGCTGCTCTTAAAGAATTGAACTTTCTCACTTCCATACTTGCTGTTCGCATGAATAGACAACGGTCAAACCTCTACCTTCACTGTTGAACTTTTTTTTGTATAAACTCTTACTATATTGTGTATCTAATATTGGAACATGAAGTGGGCATCATACATACATGAAGCTTGGCCGGGGCTTGTCCAGTGAAACAATGATTATTTATGTATATACATATAATGAGGTCATCATGCTATTTTCCTAACACTCCGTGTAGCACTGCCAAACGCTTATTTTTGTGTATTTTTGGGACGATGTATGTTACTGTTGTAATCATGCAGACTAATGGTTATTTTTTCCACTTTGATATCTGTGGCTTACTTTGTGTGGTTACTCGTTGTGTTGGAACTTAAAATTATTACAAAATTTCATATTGCTGGGGACAGTGGAGGAACTGTTAGTTCATTAGTTTGTTAGAAAGATTGGTTACATAGATAGGGGAAACTCAGAATCAGATTAGGGGGTTCATTCTGAATTTGATAGTTTGTGTGTGAAAGGATGAATCCTTTTTGAAAGGGGAAATCGTGGAGGAGAGACTCTCATTTTTCTATTCTCAATCATCTACAGAATTGCTCATTTCTTTCTATCTATCACCCCCTTTCTTCTCACTTGGTTTGTAACATTTAAAGTAGGAGAAGTAAGGAGAAAGTTTGGGACTTGTCTGTGGGTTGTTTTGGTCCAAATTTGCTAATATCATTCTGGGGACTCAAATGAGATTGTTTACCTAATTGGTGTTCTGTCTGTGTTTGTAGAGGTTTGTATGTGTTTATTCTGAAGTAGACAACATATGGTAAGATTATTATTTTCTTAATTTATGTCGAACATTTGGGTTTGTTGTATAATACATGATAGTCTACAATTTATGGATTCAGCTACTTCCTATATCTCTTATTTTTTTTATTTATTATTCTTTTTTTCAATAAATGTTTTTGCCAAGTCCTATGACCTTCTTTGACTACTAATATTACTCTAATCTCTCTGTTTCTGCATAATGCAGACTTGTTGTCATTTTACAAGACAAAGCCTATATATATGAAATAAATAGTCTCACAATCTTGGACATTATTGACACAGTGCCAAATAGTAAAGGTGATGCTGGAATCAATATGGGCCGTGATTTCATTCAATTGGATACTTTTATTGTTAATGCAGTTGTCACTTGTTAGATTATGATTCTATTGTTCTATTATCATCAGATTGTGACAAACATGGTGAAATAAACTTTTAATTATGCCAACCAACTGCTACATTATGCATATAATTTTCTGAGGCAATTTTTCCCCACAGGGCTTTGCGCATTTTCCCCTTCTTTGGATGCTTGCTACTTGGCCCTTCCTGCTAGTACTACCAAAGGATCTGCATTGTTGTATAATCTCATGAATCGTCATTTACACTGTGAGGTTATACATAAATTTCCTTCTGAATAATGCTATAAAATACAATAAATGACTGTTACTATAAAATTCATGAATCTTTTACTTTTGTACCATCCCTATCTTGTAGCCTCAAAATAGTAAGATGATAAAAACTGACAATATTATGCTTCCTGTTTTTGAATTTTTAATAGTATTCAATTTCATTCACTGTCATCATGATTTGGAATTTCTTTTTTATTCTAATATGTTAGTATATAACCAGTCACATGGTGTAAAATGCCTACTTGCCATCGTGGGATTTCCCTCTTTAAGGATAACAATAGGAAAAAGTTTAGTTTAAACCTCATCAGCAATTGACTTGTTTTATTATTTTATCTTCTGACAGTGATATTTCCTTTTTAATACTTGAGATATGAACTAATATATGGCTATTTTACCTATGAATCACAGATTGAAGCTCATCGTTCACCATTGGCTGCAATGGTTCTTTCTTCCAATGGAATGTACATAGCTACAGCATCTGAGCAAGGGACCATAATCAGAGTCCATTTGGTGTCAGATGCAACAAAGGTGATGAATAAACTCAATCTTACTAAATATTGATAGGGAATATTAATGGTATCAACCATTGTTTCTTGCATCTTCCAGTGTTTTTTCTCCTTGAAAACTACAACAATTTAATTTTGGTCATAAAAGATCAATTTATTTATGGTACAATTCTCTAGTAGGTCCCTTTTATGTCATTAAAACACACAGTCTCTTATATGAACTGGCAATCTTCCAAAATTGTTTTTGCACGTTGGTCATATCCTCCATTATATATTTTGCATTTGTATGTGATACATCTTTACACAGTAGTGAGTTTGGGTTACAGTTTCCTGGCATGGCAGTTCTGTATGCAGTGGGTATTTGGTATTGGTTGCCTTTGAGATAGAAAATGTCTGATAGGGCTTGGGTTTTAATGTCTATTGAGAGCGGTTACTCACTCAGTGATTTTGCCCTGTGCAATTTGTTGTAACCTTTATGCTGGTTTAATCCAGAAAATATATAATAAAACTATGTAATTGGCCTGTGCAGTCCTTGATTCTAATTCTCTCCCTCATTCTCTGTTCAATTGTTTTCTATGTTGGATGACACTTAATGATAAGAGCAGTTGTATGTTTTATGTGAATGGGCTGTCAAATCCTCCTGTTCTTTTCTCATATCCTCATTTAAAGCTGTGTACTATATGTCTACCGGATGAATATTTTGAAAGAAAACCAATTGATAAACTAATAAAATACATTACTGAATACAGAAATCATACATAATACAGAAGTGCAATTTCTGTCCCAGAGACAAAGAGTCCAACCAAGAGTATTCTTTGCCCACAACCTGTTAAAAACAAACCACTTGCCTAATAACACAATACTATCATGTTGGTTTTCATATGATTCAAAGCCTCACCTTTTATTTTTCTAAGGTTTTCTGGATCACTTAAAGTCAAATCACAATTCATCGATACATATTTTGGTAATATTTAGAAACCTAATGATGTTTTGACTGCTTTCTTACTCCAAGGAGAATCTCTTTTGCCTAACGTAAATCCTGTGGATGATCTCAAAGACATGACTTTATTTGATGGCACACAAATCTTGAAATTCTGGTTACATTCACCTGTTGCTATTCACAACTTAGGATTTTTACGGAATAATGAAATATGTATAGACAATGATTTGGTGAACAAAGACTAGTTACATTTTTTTTTCTAACCTGGTTATTGAAGGTAAGCATGTAAAGTCTCTAGCTTAAATTGAACCATGGGACCAAATATTTTCCTGTAACGTAATGATCTTTTCTTTTCAGTTGTTATTTTTTTGAAGTAATTCATGAGTTATATTCATCATGGATTATATACCTTGTAGCAGTTTTTGATACTTTTAATTTTGTGTTATTATTTTACTTCAACTGTTGAATCTGACATGTGTCTTCAGCAGTCATATAGCTTTAGAAGGGGGACATACCCGTCTGGTATATTTTCTCTGTCATTTGGACCATCAAAGCAGCTTCCAGATATTCTTGCAGCCTCAAGTTCTTCTGGTTCTATTCATATTTTCACCCTTGGATTTGCTTCACTTCCAAGGCAAGAATTGCAATTTAAAACGTTCTTCCCTTCTTTTAGACTACTTTATTGTTGTTCTCAGGGAATGTCGTCATGAAAGTTTAGGTTGTTTTAGATTACTGATGTATACCCAGCCTGATTTAAATTTAGAGCAACATTATTTGTTGTGTTTGGCTCAGTCACCACTCCACTCAGATGGATCAGCAAGCATGAGAGGCCTCACATCATGAAAACTTCAACTTTGATTCTCAATCATATTTGTTGGAAATTAAGGGCCAAATAGTACTGATAGGAAGATGTGGTTGACATTAGTGATTGCATGATAAATGTGTACAACCTCTGCTGTAGATGATTTTTGTTTTGCATATAATTTGGATTAGCTTCCTTTGCTTGAAAAAAATTCTTTCCGATATTTTTTTTCCTTTAATTATTTTCCTCCTCTTAAACGGATTTGGGAAGTCATCTTATGCATATTTGGTGACTTAAGCAGGAGCAAGAGTTCAAGTGGCTTTATAGGATCAATAATTTCTGGTGCTATGACTGATGTCCTGGATCCTGCTTATCATCACGTACTTCATAATACTGTTCCTGCAGGGGTGAAAAGGTGAAGTATTTTTAGGTTATGTTAATTTTTTTATATTTACCTATTTAAACCTTGGAACTATTTCATATGATCTGTTATCTCTAGAATCTGAAATCCTTTCTTTGCCTTGAGTTTTTATTGTGTTATCCAAATGAAACTTGTTGACGATTTCTGATTATATATATTTGTATGAATATTTGAATTTTTAAATTGTTTTTTTAAATCTTCTGTTTGTCTTACAGCTATGTAGTAATTCGCAAAGTTGAAAATATCACCAACACCTCATCATCTGAACTCCTAGCTTGTAGGTGAGTGCCTCATTATTGATCTTGGTCTCAGATGTTGACAGTCCACTGGAACTCTTATTTGATATCCCCGTTCTACCCTATTCACTCATTGTTTAGTTTTGACTTTTTCATCTTAAATTAATTATCTTCTGAAAGATTAAATAGAGATTCTGCACTCGTGGTGTAGCTTTTAATCTATTTGCTTATCTTACGTAGCTTCATTTGCCTCCTCTTTAATAGTTAAGCTTCTCTGGAAGTATTGTTTACTGCAATGCTTTGTGACTTCTTTCTTGGTCATTCACAGTATTTAATGTAATGCCTGAATTCTGTTTTCCACTTGGACTGTGCTCTAGTATGTCGTATACATCCATGTCCCAGATTTTGAAACTAGAACTATGCAATTTTAGATTGCTCCGATTAAGTGAGAACTCATAATCCAAATGTTAATTTGGTGGTTTGATAGATTCAAGGTACATTATAAAGGTGTAAAACTATCAAAAGTCAAAAACAGTTATATACCATACAACTAGATGGTCCCTTCAAAGCTAGTCAATTTGTTTGCTATTATTTTATGTTTTTCAATTTTCCAGGGCCATTTTGTCCGTAATATCTTCTAACGGATTATTCAAGGAATACAACTTAAGCATCAATGCTCGGAATGAATTATCTTGGGCTTTAGGGCGTGAGTTCAATCTTTTGACCGTGACCTAGGACAAGCCACCACGAGTGGCAAAATACTGTTTTTAGTGCACCATCTACAACTGGAAAGCTTGAGGAATTGCATTCTACACTTAAACTTCCAGAGCCACCACTGCTACCGACATTGAAGTGTTACTCAAAGAAACTTTCAGAGCTGTCATGGCTGCTATCGTGAATGTGTTATTTGGATGAAGCAGTGATACAAAATTCCCTAGAAGATGTGTACAAAGTAAAAACTTCATTAACTATGCTCTTCCCCAATTTAAGGGAAGTATGTTAAAAGTATTTTTAATCTGGGTCTCGTATGTTAAGTTGGTTTATCACGTTGTTAAGTGTTTTGCAACCTAAATTAGTACTTGTGTTGAACATGCTGACTATTTTGGTTATCCTCGAAAATGTAATTATCAAAATTTGAAATAAATGATTTGGAAGTATTTGAAGGGATGGTCCATTTTCTCCTATTAACTTTGTTAAACTCTTTGATGCTTCAAGTGCTATAAACTAATGGAACTTTTTTATGTTTACTATTATTTATTTTATTTAATGTATATTTATAAAAGTTCCCTTAATTTTGGGAGAATATATATTAACCATTAATTTATTTTTATATAATTATTTAGATATAACACTTATTTTTTTTGTTATTAGTAACTCATAAATAGGACAGTTATAAATTAAATATACATGAACAAAAGTTTTTCCTAAATACTTATAGAAAACAACACTATTTTTTTCTGTTTTAACAAATTTTCATCAAATCTTTTAAAATATAATTTTTAAAAACAAAGTTACGTGGTATCTCTTATTAGAAAAATCTAAATATTGTTAAATTTTTTTAAAATGTTTTTGTTTTCATCTTTCAGAAGAAAAAAAAAAGATAACAAGCTCTATTTTCTATATATTGAGAAAACAAAACTGTATCTATTAAAAAAAAATAACGGAAGATCCTCCTATCAGAGGCAGGTTTCGATCCTGGGACCTGTGGGTTATGGGCCCACCACGCTTCCGCTGCGCCACTCTGATTTGTTGAAATTATCATCATTTTTAGATAATTACTATATTTTAAACCAATTAGACTCATCCTGCTATTTGCAGGATTCCAAATTCTAAGATATAACAAAGTCCATTGAAGCTTATATAATCGTTGGATTTTAAACAAGTGAAGTGAAACTAACTGATTTGATGACAGATTCACCTTTTGAATCATGTAAATATAGTTCAGCAACTATTTCTTCTCATGACAAAGTAATAGTCACCATTCACTAGTCAAGATGAGCGAATTTCTCCATAAATAGATTTGAAACTTGCTCAAGGAATTTTAGTCATGGCAACAGCACTTGCTTCATTGCCTTTCTTTTTTCATTTCACCTTAACCATACATTTCACCGCTGCCACCACTACCTCATTTAACCTAGTGATTCAACCTCAGCACTATCTCCCTACGATTCATAAGACACCATTTGGGACCATTACCCGGATAAAATGTTGAAGCAAGCTTCCAATGATGATTATATTTCCAATCTTGTTCCTAGTCCCAGAAATGTTGTGTTCTTGATGAATTTTTCCTTTGGTGAAGCGCCTGTTCCACAGCTTGTTGTCATGAACACTGGCAACAGCCTTACATGGGTTATGTGTCATCCTTGAACATCTTGTTCACAGCAATATGTTCCAATAGTTGATCCTTCAAAATCCTCACGTATGCAAATTTGACATGCAGTGAACGTAACAAATGTGATTATGTGATGCATAATGGTTAGTCCATACAATGTAGAGTATGTTGGGAGTAGCTCTTCATAAGGGATCTATGCTAGGGAACAATTAACTTTAGAGAGCATAGATGTCAGCATAGTCAGAGTGCCTATATGAAAACATGTAAGTTTAGTATATCTTCCAATGGTTACCCCTATCAAGGAATCAATGGTGGGTGGAAGGTTTTCTCTGCTTCCTTGCTTTGGTAAGAAATTTCATAACGTATTGGTAATTTAAGACATACTAATTATAAGTTTAACAAATTGGTCTTGGGGGATAAAGCCAATATGCAAGGCGACTCAATTATTTTGGTTTGTATTATGTTAACTAGAAGCTATAAGTATTGGTGGGAGAAGGCCCTTGATATAGATCCAACTGTATTTGAAAGATCAATAACAGATAAAAACAGTTTGCTGAACAAATTATAACGTGGGTTATGACTTGAATGGGAGGCGCGTGTTCAGAGGATTGACTGTGAACTTCTTGATGGGTGAGCGTACATTATTGAGAACTCTCTATCTAATCTCCGGTCTCCTGTTTTCAGGTGCAAGCAGTTTTCAGTTCCTATTTTAGTTTTTTTTTTTTTTTTTTAATATTTCCACAGTCATGAATTTATGTGTTCCTTTGGATTTTGGAGTCTTATCATACCTCCATTCTAATAGGACACAGTTGACCTTTTTGTTTTTGGTGCAATGACGAGTTTTAACTAATAATTTTTCACAGAAACTATTTGAATTATTTGTCACTAAGCTTTTTTTTTTTTTTTTTGTCACGACCATTACAACCCTAATCTTGTGGATTCATAGAGGAGAATACATGTGCCATGCATATGAAGCAAAAGCAATTCAAACTTGTGCCTAGCTAAATGCATATCTGGTTGAGTTAACTAGAATTTCTTATTCTTATCACATAGATTTGAACTCCAGAGGATTCAAATTCAATCATGAAATATGCCTAGACTTTTTGTTATCCTACACACGTGACAGTTTACTTAGGAAACAATAACATCTACGTGGGAATTTATTGTTAAAGGTGGAAAGGGTAATTTGCGGTATTGTAATGTTTTCCCTATAATATGAATGCATAGCTTTTTATTGTATACCAATAAATAAATTAATAACTACGTTAACATTTTAGTGCCATGAGCTTTGATATTCAAGCTATCTGTCATACATAATGCTCATATTTTACACCCACGTAGTACTTCTAACACCAAGGTTAAACTCTGTTTAAGCAATTCCTTGTCGTTCACTTTTGAAAATATGGAATCATTCCATAAATATGACGAATCCTGAAATTGACAACTCTCAATTTATCCACAAAGGTTAGCTTTTCCAAATACTTTTTCTAAACTGTGTAAGCATACATGATCTTGGAGAGCATAAAAAGGGAAATCAATGTTATACATGAAATACAACTCAGACTTTGTGCAGCATGTTCTCCCAATAAGTTGGGAGTTTTAGGGCAACCTCCATCACTCTTGAATATTGGGTTACCTTGTGTAACTGGGTGCGTACACTGAAACAAACTACCTAGTTCTTGTCTTGACAAACTTGGGTCTCGATGCCTTCTTCTCCATTTTTTCCCTCTTCTTACGGGTCTTTTCATCTTCAAACGATTCCTAATTCACAAAAGGCATAAAAAAATTTAAGTTACTACGGTCAATGGTTCTTTTAGTGATCTGAAAGAAAACATTGATCAACATCGTGATCTCACCTCTGAACCTTGTGGCAAAAATCCTTTAATGAAGCCAAAAGACTTGTATGCTCCAAAAGACGGAATCTAGAAAATGCCAAGTCAAGACAAGATGATGTCACAAACTTGGGTATGTTTGATTATACAAGGTTGTTCAGACAACTAGTAGAAAGAGATGCAAGACACATAGCCAGGTGTGGAATTGAGAGAAGGGTTGAAATAATATGAAAACTAAAGAAGAAACTGATTTGTTTTTTGGTTTCTAAAATACTGACTTTGGAATAAATGTTCAAGATAGATTTTGGATGAGAACTTCATTGATGGGTGGTGCAAAATCATTTTAGAAAAACAACTTTTAATACGAAAATTGATCAGGTAGTGTAAAATTATTTTTGTGCGTGTGTGGCACCATGGACATCTTAGCTAGCAGTTGGAGACTAATCTATTCAGAGACATAGATACCACCAAAGTGAACTTTCTATCTCGTAAAAAAGTGCCTTTTATGCAGATGACTAGGAAATGAACCCTGGCCAACATTCTTAAGAAACTCAATTATTTCCCAACTGTGTTAGTTGGTGAATTAATGGTAAATGACACTATTTTTGGCACCTCCTCTCTTTAGCATCCCAGTCTCTCCAACTGTAGATTGATTTGTTTTCAGGTATAAAGAATACACAACATGCACTTATAAGGAACTTGATCTCTCTCGCTCCCTCTCTTTCTTGGGATGTACTCTTCACTGGGTATAAGTAAACCTATGTCTATCTGCTAAACAAGATGCCGATGGTATATAAAAGTGCACGACATATTGCAATACCTCTCTTTGTGAAGCTAAGACTGTTTGAAATAGCTCTAGCCCAAAACTATAACATTAACAATTACAAAACCTATATTCTAAAAGTATGGCACATTTGTGAGTAGATTGTAGGCCTTACCACAAGATACGTATACCAGAACTTTCCAGAGACAATGGACATGACTTGCACAAAACATGTTATGTAGATAACATCGTGCAAATATCTGCAAAATATTATGCATAAACATCATATACCAACTCAGAAGAGATAAAAAAAAAATGAATTTAATGGCTATACACTCTGTGTAAAACAAATGTACCCATATCACAGTTCATGTACTTATATACTTTTAGGGGGTTATTATAAAAAGTCAAAGAACTCATAACACATTTATATGTTCTGTGATTGGATAACAATGCATTTTTTTAATTCCGAGAGGGGTCTCATTCGAACAACAAATAAACACCAAAATTGAACATAGCTATCCCAGACACATAAGCAATTAACAGAAGAACTAGTTGAAAACGAGACACCAATAAAGACATACCCACAAACTCCACCAGTAGACATATCAAACCCACCATCTAAGAGTTCACCATCTTCTGCGTAAGCAGGAGTTGCCATCTTCGCGAGCTGTTGATAAGGAATAACATATGCCAAAGAAGTCAAAATCAACCCAATCCAGTGCTTCCAGGTGAAACTCGAATGGAACACCAACATTCTTATCAACACATAGATAACCTATTCATCAATTCAAAAGAAAATCATAGAATTAGGTCATCAATCATCAGTATAGAGCAAACAAATGGTTGCAACAATCACAATTGAAGAGAATAAGAGAGAGTACGTTGCAGGCGATAATGACGTGGCGGAGCCTAGCCATGTGACGAGCGTTCTCTTCCTTGCGTTTCTTAGCGCCCTGATTCGCCATCGCTCTCTCCCTGGTTTACCCCAAACAACCACAAGCTACCACACTTCTGATTCTGCTTCTGCGATTGCGTTTGCGTTTGCTGGAACAGAACAGAACGACACCCCAACTTCAATAATGGGCCTTCTGAAAAAAAAATACCACTGAATTGGGCTCTACAACTAAAAAATATTTTGTAGTCCAATGGATCTTTGTACTTTCTTTAAATCATAAAAGAAGTTAAAAGAAAGAAAGTGGACGTTTCTTTCTACACCTAACATATTTATTGGACCACCTTCCATTCATTTAAGAATGAATTTATAAGAATACAGAAAAATCATTCTGAAATAAATTGAGTTACCCAGAATACATGTTTGGTACAAAAAGTTGGACACAAAGAAAGATAATATAAAAAAGATGACATTTTTAAATGCAATAGATATTGGATTTTTTTTCTTATTTATTTTAGAAAATTGACAGGAAAGAAGTACAATAAAATAACACAAATATTTTTACATAAAATGAACTGTAATGAATAAAAGTAAAAATATTTTAAAAAAATGTTTACGTTACTAGTATGTTAATAATGTTAAATAGATTTAAAAAGACATGTTTTTAAGATATAATTCCACATGTAAGAGTGATTATTTTAATGTTATGGAAACAACTTGCTATGTTTAAACTATTCTTTAAATAAATATTTTAAAGAAAAATTGATCATTCAAACTTATTTTTAATTAACAAAGATCTGCCTACGGGATCTGCAAAACAGGGACGAAAAATGAGTTGAATATGCGAATTTATTTATTATTTAGATAAAATATGATTTGGGTACTTCTAACGTTTTGGTAATTACTTTTGTTTGTAAAAAAAATATATGATTTTTTTAAAATATGATCAATTTAATTTTAGAGTTTACAAATTAAGCCAAGGAAGGTTGAAAAGTTTCAATTAACCATTAGTGAGTGGAGGATAGGAGTCAAAAAAGTAATAATATATATTTGTCTTTCTATTTTTAAATGGTGGTATATAAAAGAATTACTAATGAGCTCAAAATGATGTATCAATCTGGAGGAATTCATATTTGAGGAGAGAATTGTTAGGAAACACAAGTATGATTCTAAGTCTAGCATCGAGTAAGAATGTGAAAGTTTACAATATATAAAGAAGTATGACTTATAACCTAATATTTTAAAGTTTTTGGTTGAAAGTGGTATTAATCTCTTATATAGATTGAACTAATATCTCATTGATATTGTTTTCTCCAAAAAATCCTCTTCAAAAGACCCAATACTTTTTACCCCAATTTCGTTGGATTTAATATCCATCTTTATTTGGTTTCAGCAATGGTGGACCTATATATATACGAGTATACACGTGTACCTCCTAATTTTGTTAAAATTATTACTAAATATCTAATTTTTTTTTATTTTACCCTTATTCTTATATATTTGAACCCACTAATTGTTGTTCAATGATAAATATATGTATAGTTGAAAGTGGACAAATACATCACTTGACTTAAAAAGTAAATTGCCCCCACTAATTTAGAGTCTTAGATCTGTCTCTTTATTTCTATTTTATTATCATTTTATATTATTTTAAAAAAATAATTATACTTATAATATATTAATTTTATATTTTGTATGCAATTTTTATAAAAAATAACTATTTATAATTTAATAATTTTTAGTTACTATTAATTAAATATATACTTTGATTTATTATTATATATATATATAAAATAAACGTGTAATTATTAGAATTCTTAAAATAATAATAATAATAATAATAATAATTTTATTATTATTATAACACTATATTTAAATATTTAATTATATATATTAAATATTTTTTAAGTTATCATTTTAAAATATTTATAAATATGAAAATATAGTATATAAAAAATATTTAATAAGGTAATTTTATTTAATTAGTTTACCTAATAAAAGTTTTAATTATCAAATTTTTTTAATCTTCAAAATATAATTATTTTATCAATGAATAAGAATAATAAAATATAAAAAATATAATAAAATAAAACTTAATAAAGATAAATTATAAATAAATAATATTAGTTGTTACTAAAATTAATATAAAATATTTAAAAGATTAAAAACAATTTGTGTTTATCAAATTGGTTGGAAAAATTAGAAAAATCAAATTAATTGAAGAGATTAGAGAATGTGAAAAAGAAAATAATAAGAAAAAAAGGATAATATAATGAACTGATTGATGGATGAGATTGAAAAAGAGAAACAAATGAGAAGTGGGTGGAAAAAAAATAAAGGGAAAAATTTAGAAAAATGATTTTATATAACGTAAAAAAAGATATATATTTTAAAAATATTAATATCTTAGGATTTAAATTTAAATACAAAATCGGGATAAGGTGAGGTCAAGGTGAAAATTACAGTTTTTTATCTCGACTCTGCCCCTAACTTTTTAAAATAAGAAAAATCCAAACTCCGGCTTCGGTTAACTCGATTTTTTCCATCAAACTTGAGATAAAGACGGTGTTAATGAAGAAAGAAAAATATTTGAAAATCACCTTTTGATGATGTTCATTATAAGATAGATAGGTAGATGAATGAGTAGTTTTGTATAAAGCCAAATAATCTAATATTTGAAAGTAAAAATAATCAATTATATTAAAATTAAATATGTATTAATCGATTAGATAAGTACTTAATCGATTATGTAGTCATTTAATCGATTATGTGTCTAAATATTTGTTTTAACATAACACGTTAATAATTGATTATATTGGTACCTAATTGATTATATAACTTCTTTTCAGATTATCCTTGCACGCAAATAATCGATTAGATATCCTGCTAATCGATTATTTATGTCGATTATAACGAAATTTTACTCCATAAAAAAATGCAAATTTTCTTCAATCAAAATATCTTTTAGAAACAATTAAAGCAATAAGAAAGAATGTTGTGGACATCAAAAAAAAGTTAGTGATTTTGTAAAATGTTTTGAAGATCAAATTCAAATAAAATGTTATTTGGTTATAGAATGCAATGTTCTATGAGTTTAAGATGAAATCGTTTCTTATATTTCTCTTGTGAATCTTATATTAAATTTTAATATATGTGAGACTAACTACACCACTTTAACTTGAAAATAGTGAGTAAAGACATTTTAAAGTATTGTAATATTGATTAAAAGTTATTGTAAGTCAAAATTATTAAATTAGGTTATAACTTGTTTTAATAAAAAATTTAAAGTTAAAGTTGTTTGGTTAAAACTGGATATAGATTCACAAAGAATCTAACCAATATAAATTCTTGAATTTTTTTCTTATTTTCCTTATCTTAATATTCTTATTTTCTTAACACCGTTATAATTCTTTTATATTCAATTATCAGAAAAAGTTATCTAATAATTAATTAAAATTAAAAAAAAAATTACAAATCCAATTTATTGTCATTCCCATCCAAGCAACCACATGTCCCATTAAAAAAAAAAAAAAGAACTTAAGTTGTTGCTTACTTTTATACATAATAAAATACGAGAAAAAAATTGTTACATTTTAATACATGATAAAAGTCGTAAACTACTAAAATAAGTATAAAAACGGACTGCCTACAGATTAAAGAAAAAAACATATACTTTATATATATATATATATATATATATATATATATATATATATATATATGATTTTTATTAGATAAATTGAATCTCTGCGGATATGATATTTATAAAAAATTAAAGTTACATTAATTAATTTTTATTAAATATATTCTTATTTTAAAAAAGTTTAAAAATAATTAAAATATTGAATTTATGGGACTTTGAATGAATGGTAACTTACGGTTAGTTGCATTGATATATTATGGAAATAAAATAAAATTTATATCAATAGACAAATTATTATTTTTCATCTTTTCAACTAATTTCGTGTTAATATATAAAATTTGTTTAAGTGAATTATAAATAGAAATAAAAAGGTAAAAATTATGTAAAAAGGGTTAAAGACTCATTATACACAATGATACTAATACATACTTCTTACAAGAAGACAGTATGAACAAATTAAAGACTCCTTATTTTTAAATATGTTTTAACCAAACTGATCAAATTTGATCTATAATATATATATATATATATATATATATATATATATATATATATATATATATATATATATATATTAAGAGATCCAAAATTTTAAAAGGATGATTTTTATAAAAAACAAAAATATATCAAATAAGTATTTATCACAACATTTTAAATCCACGATTAATAATTTACGTTAACAGATAGACTATTCATATTTTATTAATAGAGAAATTGTTAAAATTCAAAATGAAAGAAATTTACTATATGAAGATAAAAAGAAAAACTAATTAAAAATGAAATTTATTGTATATAAACATATTTTAATATATATTTGTTTTCTCCTTTTCTACCCTATCGCGTGTTGCTTGATTTAGATCCACGTCACGTAAGCGTAAACCAAGTAGGTGTTGGATTAAATTAATGAAAAACATGCACTGTTGAGTTGAGCGTGACAAAACAATAAACTAAAGGTTCCAATTTCCAAGCACCGTGGATGGTTGGAATTATTTGTTTCCCTACTTTTTTATTAGGAATCGACCACAACACTCTTGACTTTCAAATCAATGTTTCGTTGCTTCCGCGAATTGCTCATTTGTCATTCTTAGATGCACATCTTATCATTTCTCAAACAAATTAAAATACTACACTATCAAGCTAGTATCAAAACAAAAAAGGGATTTTTTTCTTATTAAAATATATACTCAAACTACGAATCAATAATGCCCTATAAGACCAACATAGTACATGTATTTATAATAACATATAAAACATGTCTATTTTACCCATAAATTTAATAACATTATTTGTAGGGTGAGAACAAGTTCGTTGGACCACGCGTAAGATGCCCCTGCAAGAAAATTTTGGCTTTACTATTAATTACTGTACGAATTAGAAACGAAAAAAATAAAAACTTCAAGATGATTATAAGTAAATTATTTAAACAAATGCGTCTCCAATATACTTTCGTAAAAATATTTTATTATTATATCTTTTACCAGTTTCGTGAAGACAAACGTTAACAACGTCCAAATGCTAAAAGTCATTCTCTCCGATAAGGTAAATACTAAACAAATAGCCAAAAAATAAAATACAATAAATACTAACTAATCGTTTATAGTTTTACACGTGTTGTAAAAAGAATATAACAATATTAATAATTTATACACTTTCACCTATAATAAAAAAAATACAATGAATCTTAATCATTTATATTTTTTTTGGAAATATACGAGAAAAAAATAAAAAATGAAACAAAGAAAGTAAATAACTAAACAAGTGAAAGTGAATTCAATTAAATTAATTGGAGTGAAAAAATAAATAAATATGTTTTGTTTTAAAAAATTAATTAAGAATATAATTGATTACGTGAGTGGTTTATTTTTTATTAGCTTTTTTGTTTAATGTGCCAGAGATTAACAAAAATAAATAAATTTTAATCATACGAATTTAATTACTTCGTCTTATTCATATAAAACTAATGCAAACATTACTAATGAAATATAAAAGTTATATTTAAATCTTAATTGAATGATTAAGATTAACATAATTTTTTTAATCCCAAATAATCATTTATAATATCTATATAATTAAGATTATTTCTTCCTCTTTTAGATATATACTTTTTAATTATAGTAAATAAATTATTATTCGTTGAGTCTGATTTAATGATGGGCCCGCTCCCACGTGAGAGTGAACTTATAATATTTAAAACTACAATAAATCACAATGCTATCACAATTTAATAATACTTAAAACTACAATAAATAATATAAGGCGTGTTTTTTAGCATTCCTTTCACTCATTATATTTAATTAATTATTAGCTGTGAGTTCTAGGTAAAGAACAATAGTTCATCTCCCAAATCAGCACAAACTCCTTTAAACAAACTCAATATTTCCCCTCAAAATTACTTTAATTCATTGTCAACAAAAACAAAAGTAAACCATGAGTTCCAAACAAAAGCTATAGACACAAACTCAAGATTTCATAAAACTAATATTAAAAAAATGAAATTAGTTCATTCATAAGTTTTAATTAACTTATGTGATATAGTTTGTAGAATAATTTCATATAATGTTTTTAATTCGTAATAAACCTATTTATTTTGTTTTTTTTATCATATAATTATTCTAAAATTTATCTTGATTTTTATATAACTTAATTTCAAGTTATGAAAAAAACTCATTCCATTCTTATTGTTTTCTTAAAAAGTGTTTACATAAAAAAAAACTTGTTCAAACATCATCAAATTACATAACATTTTTTTAAATTAGTTTTAAACTATTAATTACAAAATAATTTGTATCCTCTAAAATGCAATAACAATCAATTGTATAAATTAATTTCCACGTTGATTACTAAACCAACTATTGTGAATATAATTAAATTTTAATTTTGGTTAAATATAAATTCAATCATATCCTAATTTTAGAGAGTTCATTTTATAATTTATAATCTCGAGTGCATCTCCTCATATGAGAGAAGTCAAATCCTAATATATTTTTTCAAATATTTGTATCATTCATTTATAATAATTTTTTATAATTTCTTATTGAAATGAAATTTAATCTTATATTTATGGACCGAATAACAATTTAATAATAATATAAAGAAGTTATCCAAAATAAAAAATAAGCATAAAAGAGTTATTTATTTTTAAAAATTATTTAAATCAAGGGATAACTAATTATGATGAATTTTAAAGACATATTGCTTTATAAGATAAAATTTAAAGACGTAGATATTATTCAAAAGATAAATGTCACGAGGGGAAAAAAATATTGTTGAAATAAAGAAAAAGACATAAAACAGGTGTGGGGTCAGGGGATTAGGGGAAAAAGTGGGTTCATTCAGGATTAAAATGAAAAAGGGTACGATAGATACAACATTGTCATATTATTGACCTTAGTTTATGCCAAAAAAATAAAAACCATGCTGACCTTAGCTTAAGGGATCCGTCACATGTGAAAATTTCGCACATTTGATGAACAAAATTAGGCCAGAATTTTATTTATTTTTTAGAAAAGATAAAGTGGAGGCGTTTCCCATCACCATGTTGTTGCAGGTTTCGAAACGGTTACAGCATCTTCACTTTTTCTGAGTCCAGGTGTATCTCCAACGCTCTGAACCAAGTGGGTTATCTCAAAAATACCATAGTGATCATAATCATCATCACTCTCTGTTCACGCAAAACTAGCTTTTCTTTGCTTTTTGACCACTTCCGTTCCTGTTTTGTGGGAGTGCTCTTTTGAGATTATTTTTTTTCTTCGATTCAGGTGAGGTTCTTTTATCCTTTTCATAATATAACCGTCGTTGAGATTATTTTCTTACAGTTTTTTTTTTCCTCTTTTCCGCAATTTCCCTAATACGCTGTTTTGTCTGGTCTTAGTAAGTTCCGCTTCGATTGCATCATGCATGTATCTTACATTTGTTGGGAGATTCAATCCATGCTTTGTCTTGTCTGAATCTTCTTTCTAAGTCACGAATTTAGACTTTCATCGTCTCTAATTTTGGTCAAAGTGAAATACCTTTTTAATTTTTTTTCGAGATTTTTTTTTGGTAATTTTATTTTTTTTATCCTGAGAAGTTGTTGTGAATTATTATGATCTCTTGAAATCTGTTAATCTATAATTCTTGGGGAAAGTCAAAGCTCAAGGACTTTTTGATCGCATATCAAGATATTTTTTTTAAATATTAATTTTAGTTTCTTTTTTATCGAGAAGTTTGAGTGATTAGTGTCTCGGATTTCAGAAATACTTGAATTTTTTTCGTGGGTTTTATCGGAGGAGTTGGGAGTAGCTGAGGATGAGAAACGTCCTTCGATCTCTGCGACAATTGCGACCAGCCTTACAGAGACAAGATAGTGTTCTGTTCAGTGTTAATGTTGCAGAAGAATCCCCATGTCACTTTGGAAAGAGCTGTCATATTCATAGTTTAGCTTGCAGAGTTGTTGATCATGCTGAGACCAACTTCGTCAAGAACCATTTGTTTGTAACAACCACGAGAGCTCTCTCGACTGATGCTGCAAAACTCACAAATAGAGGTTCTCATCTTTTTTGCTCTCGGTGTGCTGGATTCAGGAGGGTTTGAAACGTATTCTCTTAATTGGAATTTGTTGTCTCAGTTACAGAAACAAGCAAAGCTGGGCCTCTTGTTGAGTATGAACGAAGAATCGCTAGTGGTGAACTTTTAGAAGGTGATGCTTGCCAGGTAGAGTGCCTACATTTATTTTAATGGCTAATTTCATTGACGACATGGATTTTCCTGCTTGTTTTATCGGTAAAATGCTCGATATTACTATATGGATTATATTTTGTGGCGCTTAAACGCTAGTTGCTGCACTTATTGTTTTTATCATTTGTTTAAGCATTCTTTTATTTTCTTTTGAAACAGGTTGACACTCTGACAGAACTTCAGAGACTGTATGATGAGCTTGTTGAGTCTGCTGATGCCTGCCAACTGGATCGCAATTCTGAAAAACCTGTAAGGTATGCATTTCTTACTATTTATCTTGTTTCATGCTGGTATGTCTGCTCAAATCTTGAAGCTTATTTCACATTTTGTTTGCCTATTTGGTTTTAAATTTATTGATCTTTTGATTTTGCAGGAGTGGATGGCTGTGGTCTAGGCTCTTATCACATCCTTCTTACTCACCTGTAAAAGGTTTATATCTTTATGGAGGAGTTGGTACCGGTAAAACTATGCTGATGGACTTGTTTTTTTATCAATTGTGAGTTTGAATGAATTTATTTTCCATATTTTGGTTTTCCCATTTGCTGTTGTCTTAGAGCATTTAGTTGTCATACCTTTTCAACTCTTAATATAGGAAGAATACGAGGCATTTTTAGAATATACTATGGAAGTGTGTTCTTATGAAGATTTATACTTTGACCGTCTTCATCGGCTGTCTCTTATCAGGCCCTCTAATTGGAGGAAGAAGAGGATTCATTTTCATGACTTTATGTTGAATGTACATAGTATGCTACAAGTAAGTCTACATAACCTGTTAAATTTATTTATTTATTTTTAATTTTTTTTTTTGGATAGAAAAAATGGGCAGATCTATTTATTCTGATACATGTTACACTGCAGTTTTCCCAGTACAGTTACTGATGATAATAAATCTAAGTAACCTACAATCGAATTGCATTTCTTGTGTCTATTTTATGGTTGGAATTTATTACATAACACGGGAAAGTGCCAATAATTATGTATGTTTTGGTGGAAGAATTTGTTTAAAAATCTTCACGAGATACAAAGGAGGTCTTATGCTTTGAGCATTAATTGTTTGTTAGCAGTTTCTAGAATGATGTTGTCTATATATGCTTAATTGGCCAACGCAATAAGAGGAAGCCTATCTCAGATTTCCTATTGTTGTATCCTTGTAGAAGCATAAGGGGTTGTCAGATCCACTTGATGTTGTAGCAGGAGAGATTTCTGATGATGCAACTTTATTATGTCTTGACGAATTTATGGTAAATTTTTAGTATAAAATTTATTTTTGTTTTTATAATAGGATCATGCATATTTTATTTGATGCTATATCTTGAGATTTGTTGTTTGCTTTTTCAATAGGTAACAGATGTAGCAGATGCATTGGTACTAAATCGCTTGTTTAGACATTTGTTCAACAAAGGCATTGTGAGTAATATAACTGTGTAGTAATCTCTCTAAACACTGTGGAATTGTTGCCTAATGAATTTCAAAATCCCATGTTTTCAATGTGCTTAAACGCAAGTATAGATTCTAGTAGCCACATCAAATCGTGCACCAGATAGCCTGTATGAGGGTGGATTGCAGAGGGATCTCTTTCTACCCTTCATTGCAGCACTGAAGGTATGTTTCTAGATTTTTTTTTTAGTTGGCATTGGTGTTAGATTGCCTTTCCAAGTCAATACTACATCTGCTTTGTGGAACTCATGTTCTGTAGAGCAAAGTAAAGACTCCAGGACATATTTATATTTTTCTCTTTATAATTGTCTAATATATGGTTTCGTATGTTATTTTATTCCCTTTAAATTTCCTAATATATGTATACTCCTGTAGGAAAGATGTGTAGTACATGAGATTGGTTCATCAATTGACTACCGTAAACTGACTTCGGTATGACATAAAATCTTATATATGTAAATGCATTAATCTCAAGTTGTTGGTTTTTTAATTATTATTTTCTACAAATTTTGTCTGCAGGGCGAGCAAGGGTTCTATTTAGTTGGTGGACATTTATCTGGCATTCTTAAGCAACAATTTCAACAGTTGATTGGAGAAGGCACAGCTACTCCCCAAGAAGTAGAAGTTGTTATGGGAAGGAAACTGAAAGTACGTAGTAAATTTGATACTGGACAAACATATAGAGCACACAATCATGGTTATTATCAATTTTAAGCTGTGTTTATTTTCTTCATTAGGTTCCATTAGGAGCTAACGGATGCGCGTATTTTCCTTTTGAGGAACTTTGTGATAGACCTTTAGGGGCTGCAGACTATTTTGGGTTATTTAGTAAGTCATATTTTTGAGTGAATTTTCTCATACATGCATATTTTTTGTCCTATACAGTTTTGTTGTTTGCTATGAATTACACATGGGTTTACAGTAAATATGCTTTGAGCATGTCAAAAGTCATATAATGATTTTCTTTTTATGTAAACTTCATGTATTCTCATTGGGGTAGTTTTGGTTTCCTCTTTAAATATTTTTCTTTTCTCACTTTTACCAAGCTGCTAATGTAAGAACCATAAATCAAAAGCTCACACAGGATGTCTTTTTTGTTTGCACAGAGAAGTTCCACACGTTGGCTTTAGAAGGTATTCCAATTTTTGGGCTTCACAATAAATCAGCAGCACATAGATTTGTCACTTTAGTTGATGTAAGTCTTGCCATTCTAAAACTTTGTTTGTTGTGAGTTTCATTAAGCATATTTTATCAAAATTGTTAAAACAAATGGTAGAGAGACATATGAATAAAATTCATGTGTGTATTATGCACAGTAGAAGAACAAATATATCTAGATATCAAGATAAAGAAAAGAGATGAATTTGAACCCATATATTTATGCAAAGATGAATGCTTGCAACACATTTTAAATCTTCCAATCCACTCTATTGTTGAGTGGATTTCCCATTCAATCGTGTGGGTCTCACTTCCCATCTCAAGTTCCACGTGATAGTAGTGTGTGTATTATTATTTCTCGTGTATATTACTCTCTTACTTTGAATAGCCGCGTATGTTGAGTGTGTTTTTCTCGATCTGGCTGAGTTTTTTCCTGTGAATCTTCCTATTTATAAATATGCCTTATATAGCAGAAAATGTAGACTTTTGACTAGAGAATAAATAATAAAAGTTTGCATGTGTTTCCATAATATCCAACAACCAAGAATTCTTATGATTGAAAGTTCTATTAGAGACTGAAGCTTAGGTCACTGTCATGACACATTACAAATGAATAATCACATTCTTTTTATTATCCTCTACGTTTCTTTTTCCTAGAATAAGTTGCTTTGTTCACTAACATAATAGGTGATGTACGAGAGCAAGGCCAGATTATTATGTACTGCTGATGGGAGTCCTCAAGATCTCTTTGAGAAAGTAGTAACAATATCCGAAGCTAAAAATATGGCACCCAGAACTTCTTCACGATCAAGGAAAAATGATGATTCTAACCTTTGCGTGGATAATGAATTGGGGTTTGCGAAAGACCGCACCATTAGTAGGTATGGTATATCTCCAAAAAACAACTCGAAATATTTCTTTGTAACAATTTTGATATAGTGTTGCCTGCTCAACTGATACCAGTTGGAATGTCTCCTTTTAATATTGTTTATTAATCATGTGAGATCAAGAAACACTTTAGATTGGGTACTGGCAATGCAATTGAATTGTTTCCTTAAATTTGTGAAATAGAGAAGAAAACTTGGATGCTAAAGAACTGGATAATGGTTGATGTGCAATACAGGGAGCAGACCCCGGCTCTTTATTCATTAATATCTTTTTTTTTTGTAGAAATATTCCAACATTAAACTTTTATCTCAACCTAGGAAGTACATCCAATGGGTGGTATCTGGTAATGTGTTGGATAACATAGGGTTACAGTTGGAGTGAGAAGGGATGTACCTGAAATTGCTTTTTGCTTGCAGGGTAGTCTGCATATATTATTAGTCAGTCGCAGAGAGGTCTCTAGGTTACACCTACAGCTTTATTCATTATGTTTTGGGTTTTGGGATTGATTGGTATTGGGTTATTCTGTTTTGACATTACTAAGAACAACATACAGGTACCTAGGCAACCACATTTCTTCCTGGTAACACGTATGTATTTGTTGCAATTACTGATTGTGATATCATTTTGATGCAGACTGACAGAGATTAACAGCAGGGAATATTTAGATCATCATGCTGCCATGTTCTCAGAAAAAAAGGAAAGAATGGATCAGAATGCCCTTGAAGCTTGAAGAAAGCATCCAAAACCTCTTTTCAGTTTGGTTCCTAGTGCTGTAGCATATAGAGTTAAAGTGGGGTAAATTGATCGTGAAGAACCAAAAATTTCCAAAAAAAAAAAAACATCCATTTGCAGAGCAGTAAGATTTGGCTCAGTTTGGTTCTTGTTGCAGCATAAAATTTTCAAATAAAAAGGAGTGCAGAGAGTGTTATGTTTGCCACCTGCACATGAAGAGAGGTATTATAGATACCAAAAATATATTTACTAGCAATTAGTTACTAGCATTCCAAAAATATTGTATAATTGATGTAATGCAAAAATTCAATCAATTTAAATGGAGATGATCTTCTTAACTACATTTTATATTAATTTTTTGCAAATTTTGATCAAAATATTCTGAAGTTTGATAAATATTATTCCCCTTTTAAAGTTAGTTTGTCTTGCCTATGCTAGATGAAATTTTTTATTCCCTAATCAATTACTCTATTTCCCCTTTCAGTGTTTAGATAAAGTGCAGTGGTCGATGAAATTTTTTATTCCCTAATCAATTACTCTATTTCTCCTTCAGCGTTTAGATAAAGTGCAGAGGTACCTAGATCCGCATAAACTTTTTTTCTTGTTTGTTCATATATATATATGCAAATTTTATACAAGTTGATCATCCATATTAACATTATAATATATATAAATCATGTAATGTTTAGAAAAGGTTAAGTAATTTCATATGCAATTATATTAAACCATTGTACCATTTAATAACAAAATTAGTTGGTGATTTATCAAAACTTCATGGATAAAATTGTAAATTTCTTTCTAGTAAATGTACATTTTTTTAGTTTTTTAAATTAACTTATATATAAAGTATAATTTTATTTAATGATAAAAAAATTGCTTATTTTTTCCCATTTATTTTATTTTAAAAGGATTTTTGAACAAAATTTTGTCTAAAAAAAATTCTCAACCAAAATAATCTAATATGTCATTATCACAATATTATAACCACGTGTTACAATCATAATTTGGTTTGAATATTGTTGATATTTTAATCTACATTTAATAGTTATCAGTTATTCTAATTAATTTCCACGTAAACAAACAATTTTACAGTATAAGTATAAATATAAATAAAATTATACCAATGTAAGTCAATAATATATAAAAATGATTTTATCAATTTAACAGTTAAATTATAATTTTATATAATCACAATTATTTATATAAATTTTATTAAAATTGAACAATTAAAAAGGTGATTACAGAAATTAGGAGGTTTGGCTGAGAATGAAATCGAGGGGTAGGACATTGAGTGAGTGATCTGATTGGAGGAGCGACACAATTATATGCTGACTTTGTAAAGCAGCAGTGACCTTCATTGTTTAGACTGTCTCTGAAAAAGTTAGTGATATCATATTAAGGGTGAAAATTGAAAACTAAATGCATCTTTCACTCATTTCAAAATAAAACAAGTGCAGACACACTACATCTAGGAAGTTTTTTTTTTTTTTCATTGTAAAATGAACCTTTAAAATATAGAAATAAAACCCTTTTTACATGTAATGTGGCTTTCATTTTTCGGCTTTCGTTCTACTAATAATCATTGAAGTATACCAGACATACTTAGCTACGCCATGAAGAAATTAGAGAATCAAGACCAAAAGAATAAAATTGAATGGACGTTTCTACTGCAACGATGGTCTTTCAGTGGCCCTTCTCACTAATTAAATGCTTACTTGAATTGTTACATCATTATTCCGTCATTAGAGCCGCCGAATGCCACTAATAGTTTGAATGATTCGGAGGACTTTCATCCTGTTCTCAACAAGCTTGATGGAACCTAAAAAAAGACGATAAGCAAGGAGTTAAATAAAGATAAGTAGGCGGAAGCAGGAAATATGTAATATTATTCTTGTATTGCAATCAAATCCATTACCACCTTTGCCAACCGTGAAACTATCGAGGCCGATAATTAAACTAAAATTAGCTAAAACTATATAACGCCTTCCCTAGCTAGGGTAACTGCTAGGGTGACTAATATATATTAAATGATGCATTCAACGACTACTGCCCAGTGGAAGCCAGTATATGAAGGAACCAACAAGTTGATAGAATCAGTCCCCAACACAGGGGAACATAGTTCAAATTAAACGTAACTGTAATAACAACTTGGCAATTCCACATTCATTTTAGATCATTCTTAACTATAAAGTCAACATTAAATTACAGGGAATTTTGTATTTTTTCAATAGCCAAGTTTTGAGACAAATTTATAACAACAAATCTATGATTTTCCAGAAACAAACACCGCTTTACAAATAATAAATCCTACGACACGAAGCATGATAACAGAAGAATTTTCTTCAGGTTTCATGGAATGCGGTTTAGTAACATTAACTACTATGAAGAATCGGATTACCTTCACATGATGAGGCATGATCTTGACATCAAATGGAACATAAAGCCATGCTTCAGGTGAATGCAAAAGAAAATTCTCTGGCTTACTGGTATAAACATCTGCATACTGGTGAATATGATATGCAAAAGCAGATTCTTGTCCTGTGCTAGTCAGGAATGTTGCTCCAAAACATCTATTAAACATCATTTTCATCTTGCTGCGTGCTTTTTGTCTCTCCTCATTAAGTTCTCCCAGAAGTGAATTGAAAGCTTGAGTTCTCAGACTACTAGATGCAGTAGCGTGTAATTTACCAAGTAGTTCTTGTATTATATGAAACTTTGCCTTCATTTTTTAACAGGATACAATGCATAAAATGTGACAGTTCTAACAGTAGTTGAAGAAATAAATTATAGTGTTAATCAACCAAACACAAACTTCTGAACCTTCTATAAATAAGTCAATGAATATAAAAACATGTTCATTTGAACCTTTTTTTCAATATTATTAAATTAAAATGTTTGACACAAATCAAATTAATTACTTGCGTGGTTGTACAAAATTCTATAACATCTGGGATTTTAACGGAAAGGCAGAGAAATGTAGTCATTTTCTTACAGCACACAAGCAAGCTCACAAACAGAAGGAAGACTACATCAAACACTAACTTGATTTAATTCTTATAAAAATCTCTCCTTCTAGCATTTCACTGCGTAAAAACATGAATTTGCAATTTATATGTCAACTTTTAAATTACAATCATACACGTATAGTAAGGTTTAAAATGGGCTCATAGTCAAGAAACTGGTTCAATCTCCATAACAAATTGTTTATATTAATATTCATGCCTTAATATAGGAAAGGTGTCTGAAAAGCAATAATTGTGTCAGTGCTTAATAAGAGAACACAACACACAAATATATTACATTTAACTCTGCAAAATAATAACTTCTTTATACCAGTAGATTCATGATTAATATAATTATGTTAGCAATTTTATTTTTATGGAAATGACAACATTTTCATGAACTACCATTGATCCCGAAATTCTCCTGAATCACTCACTCCTCAAGCTCTTAACGTAAGAGTAAAATAGTTTTTAGTTGGTGAGTCATCGAGTCTTCAATACAACCACTCGGAAAATAACAGGAAACCATCTACAATATATCTGCTATGCTAAGAAAGTATGAAGCTGAAAAGAAATAATGTCAATATGAATAAAAATGCGAAGGCACCTGCTCTGAACGGTATGTATCTTCATTTTGCATTTGAATTTCGCTCTGCATTGTTAAAGAAACAAATTCATTAATGTCTATGCTTCTGATGTTAACTATGACAAAAATTCTGCATCCTAATTAAGAAATATATCAATTTGAATGAGCATTCAGCGAGGAAAATTTAACATTAAAAGAAAAACGCGAAGCATAATTATATTAATCATGTAGCAACTGCATAACCAACTCGAATTCTAAAGATTCATATTCATCCTCTGTGTAACCAACAGGCACATTGAAGTCTCAACTACTACTATTCTTTACATTCAGCATCACCACCATCATCACATACACAAAGAACGGTACAAAAAGTTTTACTTTTACTAAGGTCAGCTTTCACATAAATGACAAAAAAATTCTTCGACAACATATTACATGCATATACATAATGCCATTGTCATTGTCTATGTTGAAAATATTATAAATGAAGAACACAAGCACAATGATGCAAAGACCCGAGTAATCATCTCCTGAAGCTAGGCTGATTCATTAGAGAGGAGAACTTCACTGCTAATGAAGTTTTCTGTCTTACACCCAGCCAATAGGGAACTTGCACTACCACTCAATATAGACATGCAAGAGGCTTATACAGTGGCAATGGTAAACCAAGCAATGGTGCTGGTACCACTCGTTGAGGAGAATCAACACTAGCAAGTCAGGCTGTTAAGAGGGGAGAGAGCCTCCAACTTAAATTAGAGGTCATGTTTCACACTTGCACACAGCTCATATAACACTCAGATTTCAGCTTCACAAAAAAGGCATGTATAATAAGAGGCATCATGAATGCCGTTAAACGAACTAACCTCATTGGAAGCCTCTGTTAAGTATGTGGAGTCTGAAGAGTTATTAAGCCTGACCCATTTACTTATTCTTTTATTATAAATACTCATGTAATTGTAAACCTAATTAAGTGAATGAAAACTATCATCTAGTGCAGCCATAGATGTAGGCCATTTTTACTAAACCATATAAATTCTTTATGTTCTTGTTAAGGTTCCAACATAAAACCAATTGACAATATGTGGAGTAGCCTTACATGTATTTAAACCATACCAAATGACATGAGGTAGGCAATGTGGGACTTTCAACACACCCCCTCCAACGAAGCCTGCCGAACCAGGCAAAGGGTACTTTTGACCCAACTAAAGGGCAACTTTTGGCCCATGACAATAACCGAAAAGATGTTAGGTTTTGACTCTGATACCATGTTAAGGTTCCAACATAAAACCAATTGGCAATATGTGGAGTAGCCTAACATGTATTTAAACCATACCAAATGACATGAGGTAGGCGATGTGGGACTTTCAACAGTTATTTACTTTCGTCTTGTATTGCATTTGTGTTCCCAACAATTGGTATCATGAGCTTAGGTTTTAACATGACATTAGTTGTATGTTCTAACATGGATGAAATTAATAGATTGAATGCATAGTTGTCTAAAGAGTTTGAGATGAAGGATTTGGGTATTGCAAAGCAGATTTTAGACATGAATATTAGCAGGAACAAATTTGAAGGTTCCCTAATATTATCTCAAGAGAAGTATATTACGAAAGTATTAGAGAAATTCAATATGCAGGATGTCAAAATCATAAGTACACCTTTGAGAGTTCACTTTAATCTCACTCAAGAGGAGTCACCTAAAACAGATGAAAACAAGACAATAATGACTAAGATTCCTTATGCATCTACAATTGGTAGCTTAATATATGCACTAGACCAAATATTGCTCATGTAGTAGGAGTTGTTAGTATATTTATGTCTAATCCAAGAAAGAAGCATTGGGAAGTTGTTAAGTGGTTGTTACACTACTTGAAAGGTACTTCTAAAACTGCATTATGTTTTAAAAAAAATGATATCATTTTGGAAGGATATTCCGATGGAGATTTGGGAAGTTGTTTAGATACAAGGAAGAGTATTACAAGATTTGTCTTCACAATAGGTGGCATAGCAGTTAGTTGAATGTCTCGACTTCAAAAAAGCGTTGTCCTTTCAATCATAAAAACAGAGTACATGGCTATTTCGGAAGCCGGTAAGGAAATGATTTGGCTGAAAATTTTTCTTGAAGAACTGGGTAAGAAGCAGTGTGACAGTGTTCTTTATAGCGATATTCAGAATGTCATTCATTTTGCAAAGAATGTTGTTTTTCATGTAAGAACAAAATACATCCAGTTAAGGTATCACTTCATTAGAGAACTAATAAGTGATGATACTTTGTTTTTGGAGAGGATCCTTAGGTCAGAGAATCCTGTAGATATATTGACCAAGGTAGTTACTACTGAGAAGTTGAAGTTTTGCATAACTTCAACTGACCTTCATGGTTAATTGTTGAGAAGGCATTGCGCTAGTTTGAGGTTATTATAACTTTAAGATTTACTAGATTTACTTTGAAGTGTGTTTGATGTGATCAATTTCCAAGTAGGAGATGGTTAAATATGTGGAAGTTGAAGGGTTATTGGGTCTGATCCATTTACTTATTCTTTTATTATAAATACTCATGTAATTATAATCCTAATTAAGTGAATGAGAACTATCATCCAGTGCAGCCGTGGACGTAGGTAATTTTGGCTGAACCACGTAAATTCTCTGTGTTCTTATTATTTACTCTCGTCTTATATTGTATTTGTATTCCTAACAGCCTCACCATACAAAATATAAAACCTTGCATTTATTTGTCATCACCGAACAAGATATGATACAATATTTTCATGCCTATTTTCTAGGGAGTTATATTTGTGAAACCCATAGATGGAGGAATCTCTACTCTTATCTATCTATAAGAGGTCATGACATGACAAATAATAAGAAGCAAACTCAAAAATATACTTGAAAATGGATTAGATGGCAGACATGCCTCTAGTTCATGGATGATTGCTGCTGTACGCCAACCTGCCTTAGATGGCCCTCTCAAGTCGCTAAATAGATGATCTCCAAAATATATCACCTAATTAAAAATGGGAATTTTAGCATTCTAGGGACTACGTGTGAAAGAATATTTATGTCAAATACGATATTAAATTTATAATTAAAAATTGTTGAAAAATTATTGTAAGTAAATTGAAATATTGCACAGCATGATTTAGTATCAGAGACATCAAATAAAGCATACCTCTGGGCCATTCCACTTGGTTATTTGGAGAAAGGATTTGAGGCATCCATGGTAATAAATTTTATCCGGAAGAAATTCATCAACCTTGGTAAAAGTTAATGTGTCCTTCTTTGTGTCGTAACAACTGCATGGAACAGAAGGTTAGTGTACCCTTACAAAGAATTAAAAATACAAGAATATAAATTTGAAGAGATAATAATGCAAATAAATGATTAGCAAAAAATGCTTTGCAAAGGAAAATATCTACGTTAGCTAAATGCCAGGAAAATTATTTTTTTCAAGTCCTTTAATTACTCAATTCTAAAGAAAGCAACATTTAAATGATTAGGTCCTGAAGCCAGTTTTATTCTGTTCTTAATACAAAAATAAAATAAAATAAAAGGTCAATAGCACAATGTGACCCCAAATATCCTTGACTAAAATAGACCAGAATCAGAATAAGAATTAAATTAGAATAGAAAACAAGAACTATATCACATGATGAAATTAGATGTACAGGATACAAACCGGAATGGATGCTCAGATGTATAAAATTGCGGTTTATTGGCCTTAGCAATCACAACATCAAATAGTTCCGTCCAGGAATCTCTACAATCCATAGAATCCTAATCAACATTCAAGAATAAACTAAAGGAAATTATGTCCAGAAATGATATGCGCAAAAATATCATGAACCACGAAATTCACATTTAAAACCAAGTAAGGACCTTTAAAACAAACAATTTAAAGAGATCCAACTGTGCGTGTCAGTGTCATTGTCAATTATCTAAGTAATATACGCGTACTATACCGTAACTTCAGCATACAGATTCCCTTCCCTTTAAAAATGGTTCAGGCCAAGTCTCAAGTAAATTCCATATTCTCGTTCATGAGAACAAGAGGAAAAAATCATTAAACATGATAATTTTACTCCAAAAACACCAAATGATTATGAGTGAGTGAACTAATTGAAATTAGGTCATAGAAAGAAACCAGGCTATTCAACGGCAAGAACTAATGACATCATGGACAAGTAGAGAACTGATGCATGTGGCCCTCATAGCAAACTACTTGTAAATATAAATGGTTTACCACATTTTCCCCTGATAAAGAACAATTTACGATAGCTTCAGATAAATTAGGATACAGGGATATTCTAAAACAAGAAGAATATCATGCATTTGTATATTTACTAAGAAATGTCAGCACCATCCTAAGGTTTTTGGATACATATGCCTTTTAATAAAATATAACATTATAATTCCTTTATCCTCAGTTTTCTGATGAAATTAGATAGTCATCTTTACAAGTTACTAAAAGGAAATAGTGCATGCAATCAGCAAGAAAACTGAAAAGTATTTACAGTTGATCTCCATTCCAGATTCCTTCATCATCTAAATGTAAATTACAACCATCATAATTGTAGTCATAACTGACCACATTCATTATTTTACCTATACTCTTTTAGTACTTAAAGAAGAATAGTTTGCAAATGTATTTGTGAGATGTAGCTCTGAAGCTGTTGAATCAATTGAAGCAAATGTGATTTTGATCAGTGTAGACAATAATTGGGCGATATCACTTTCCCCAAAAGAAATAAATACCTAAACTTCTGGTGAAGTGAAGTCAATAAAAAAATTCATAGGTTTTGTTGGAAAAAGGAACCATGACTGTTTATTACCCTTCCAAGTAGCTTAGTCTTTACTGCGTAGGTTAGTTCAATGTATAGTAGGAAAGTTGTGATATTTTAATAGTTCTCTTGAAAATAGTAGTAGTTAACTAGTATCTTTGAAACCATTCTTATTGTAAATAAATCAATCTTCAAAGTGGAAAAAACACTTAACCACATTCACAAAAATTATTTTCTCATTTTCTCACTAGTTTAATTATTCATTTGGTCCGTTCAGTTACAAAAAACCTTTCCTTTTAATCCTTATTATACATGAAAGCATCCTCTTTTAGTCCCTATACATAAAATTTTTAATACCTCTTAGTCCTCTCGAGGGACTACAAGGGATTAAAAGGATATATGTGAAGGGACTATACTAAAAGAGGATATTTATAGAATAGGGACTTAAAAGGAAAAGTTTTATAACTAGAGAGATCAAACGGGTAATTAAACCTTAATACAAAATGCATGATATGATTTCATCTTTAGTCAAATACCTCTAACATAAAACGCATTCCTCCATCCACAAAGTAATAAGGAGAATTAGTCAACAAGAACAGCTTCTTCCCCCGCTCCCTTAGCATCTTAAGAAAACGTATTATCTTTCCCTGAAATAATCACCACAAATGAAAAAAAAAAAACTACAAACTCAATGGGAGAACAAAATAAAGACAACATAAGAAACAATGTCTACCTTGATAATAGATATCAAGATAGACATAATAAAATTTAACTGGATTAAGACAACAAATCCTGCAATAGATTTTTTTTTTTTCATATTCTGAGCACATTGGAGCATCTATTCAACATATTCGTGGATACCAATTAAAAGAAATGCATAAAAAGGTTTGAACTTACATTTTTCACCAAGTATCTATGTGGATCAGATAGAATTCCTCGATGAACCAGGCCACTTCGATGGACATGTTCAATTGCACGAACAACATCTTCATATACATAGGAAGGATCAAATTCTAGCTTTGCATCAACAAAGTACTGCACTATATCTGCAAGAAGGCATGCCTACAGTATAACAATACAAACAATCAGTTCTCAACCTACGATAGAAAGAGACTTAATATGTCAATAGACAGCCCAAGAAGAGGCAAATGAAATTGGAAAACGGAATTTTAACTTTCAATAAAATTTTCAAATTCCCAAGGGAATGAACCCCATAATAGGAGTTTGCCCTTAAATTAGTAATATAAGTTTTATAATGACAAAAAATTGGCAACATACTCATCCCTTGGTGCTAGAGGTACAGTTTAGCCCTAACAGTCTAAGAGAGATGCTTAGCTATTCAAAGCAAATCTTGCACTCAGTTAAACTGAAGGAAACCGACATTTTTGTTAGCTTTTGATCAGTAACAGAGACATTTAAAAGGAACAGAAAGTGCAACAGTCAACAACAAAATAAATGTCAATTGAAGAAGCAAGAGTAATTAAGATATAATACACTAGGTCAAGTCTCATTACGGGTGGGTGCATTTGGATTAACTTTTGAAAAAGGTACTTCTATGCTATCGCTTTTCTTTAGAGGTTCTTTGCAGAAGCTACTCTTACTCGCTTATGGGAAAAGCAACAAAACCACTTTTTTGGGTTTGTTCTTTTCTGAAAATAGAAAAATATCTAATCATCACACAAATATTGAAACACGGTTTTTACTTGAAAAGTACTTTTTCCTTAAAAATAACACCAAAAAAGTACACCCTAAAAGGAAGAATTTTATTTTTTTCTTACACGATAGTAATATACAGATTTAATTTCGCCATACATCCTACGGCTGCTTTTTATGGTATAGTGGCTCAAACACAGAAAGATACTGCAGCATGGCCATTCTGGATATACGTTTGAAGGTGATATGTGGATGGCACAGTCAATTATTTGCGTAAGCAACTTTGACTGCATACTCGAGATAACAATAATCTTTGATATATGAAGAGAACAAAACTCATTGCATAAAAGTTCACTGAGGCAAAGCTCCGATATTACACAATACAAAAAGCAAAAGTTACTATTTAATGACAGGATAACAGGGAACTAACCTCACTAAAGCAGAAGAAATCCATCAAGCCAACAAGTGATCGAGCTTGATCACGGCCAATGTGACGAGTTCCATATATGTCATGTATTTCCCTTTGGCTTAGCTGTAAATTATTCAAAAGAAAGAAATTGATGCAAAAATTATATTTTACTGGCACTACATTCATTTCTGAAACAATGGACAAACCATGCTGACTGACGAAGAGAACTAACATTTAATTTGTCCTCGTACAATCCACAAAATAAAACTCACAGTTCCAATTGTATGCAAATTTTCAGAACAATGGAGACACTTCAAGGAGTTTAAAACCAAATAAATTAAACAAAAAAAGGCTAAAAAGGTGCATTCAACTGCCAATGAAACAAAAGAACCAGTTCCAAATACCTTGCGTCTACCATAGAAGCATTCATCCAGCTCAATCGAACTAAAGAAATCCAGCTTCATGAGGCACCCTTTTGCCTTATCATAGTACAGGCCTCTAATGGGAAAAGTTGGATCATATTTAAAACTCGAGCAAACCTCCGGATACCTAAGCTGGAAGAAGCAACGAGACGAGTGAGGAAAGGAACCGCGGTCTTAAAAACATACAGCCGGCGCGCGTTGTCAGAGCTAACCTCATTAACCAAATACTCCTTGGCAAGGTCATATATCAAAGTCTGTAAATGCGACGAGTAATGTGCCAAAGTGTAATCATAGTCGAACCCATAAACTTGCAATTTATCCAATCTCAAGTTCTTATTCACATATATGCCTAATCAAATACACATATGATTAGAATATACATACATACATACATATATATATATATATATATATATATATATATATATATATATATATATATATATATATATATATATATATATCGACATTCACAAACAACACAATTTCGAAAAGAAATATTGAAGCAACAAACCTTTAGGATTCATTTTGGGCATTTTTCTGAGCGCATCGGGAATAGTGCGAAAACTCTGTTTGACGGCTTCGAATTCGCGACGGAGTGCGGATATCTCCTCGTCGTCGGACTTCAGTAAACAGTGTTGCAAAGATTCAATGACACTGTAGCTTCGACAGCTTCCCGAAAACCCTGAACTATACAAGTCTGAGCAAACGGTTTCTCACGTAGTCGTTAAAATTTGTTATTCTCTAATTCTATTTATAGTGTTCGTTTACGAAAGAAAAAAAAAACAAACAGGTAGAAGGCATAATAACAACAAGTACGGACATCAGGAGATTATTAAAAAGGTAAAAATAAAGAAAGTGATAGCGAAAGACCTTGGTGGAGCGGGGAAGGTGAAAGCAGCGTTCCCTGAGAAGAAGGAAAGAGAAGAAGGAAAGAGAAGAATGAATGAGTGTGGTTGAGTAATGTAACGTTGAAGGAGAGGAAGAAGAAGAAGAAGGAGTGAGAGAATGGTAGCGTGATACGTACGTGTATGGAGAAACAGAGAGGGAGACGGGTACGTATACGAAGGGAGGCCATTTGAATGGGATTCAGATTTACGTCCAAAGTTGAATGAAGATGGAAGAAGGAAAAGGTGAGTTTGTCTTGGTTGGGGGAGTATGATGGGAAAAGTACGCGTATGGCCAGAAACTGTTGAGAACCTACCCTTGCTTTTACGCGCCTATTCCCAGTGAATTTTAGTTTTCTACGTCACCCACCCACCCACCACCATGGATCCTCTCCGGTTATTACAAACTAGAGTGCCCAGTTTGAACATCACACCGTTCATTTACGTTTTTATCATTTATATACAATAGTTTAAATTAATCAACGGTTTCGATTTCATTTAGTTTTTGTCTATACTTAATTAATTTTTTTATCTCCATAATTTAAGATGTTTTGGTTTTAGTTTCAATTTTCTTTTAGTTAATTTAGTTAGTTTTTCCGGTTAACTGTAATTGTAATAATATCATGTATGATATGTCCAAATTTGCCAATTCGATATTATTCACGTAAGCAAAATATTACCTCAATATTTGACATCACACTATAAAATCAAGAGTAATAAATTTATAAGAAATAATATATATATATGTGGGTGGGTGAGAATTAAAAAACTTGATGTATTTATTAGATTACAATAAACAGAAATTATATTAATGGATTATGTTTGAAACCTTTAAAATATAAGCATTGTGGTATGTTTACTGACCCTTAAATCTTAAGCATATTTATATTGAATCTATTAATTCGTATGAAAAGTTATCAAATCAAATCATTATAATATTAACACAATTTATAAAAAAATATTTTATTCAATTATAATAATATATTATTGTAAAAAACTCAACATGTATGTAAAAATGATAAAATAGAAAAAACTCTCTCTTTATAAAAAAAAGGATCTAAAATAAATTTAAAGAACATTTTTTTCACCATCAAAACTATGTAACTTGTATCATTTGAATATACTTAACACCTGTTCCTCTTATCCCCGATTAGCAAGAAAAGAACAAGTCGTTTACACAGCAGAGAGATCAACTAATCATTGACCATTCTTTTCATATATAACTCATCCAAACAATCACATGTGTCCATTTTTTGAAATAAAACAAAAATTATAATTTTTTAATTTTAAACACTTAGAAAATATAATTTTTCATTTTAGTTTCAATATATATATATATATATATATATATACATATATAATTTTTAATTCTTAAAAACGTGTATGACGTGACTTTTTTTCATAATGTCATAGTTATTTAATTGGCAATTTTATTAATGTATTATGTTTTATTGTCATCGTAATATCGTCGCATTAAAATTAGTATAAATGATTAAGGAAAAAGACTTAAAAAAGAAGACTGAAATTAATATACGGGAATACAAATTTAATTAAAACTTTATGTAACTGTAGAGATCCTCATCCCGCCACCAAAAGTGAATAAAAACACACAAGAAAGAAAAGTAGTAAAGATGATATGCACCAGCTATGTGTATAGACACACAGAAACGAGAAATAAATAGAAAAAAATGATAAATAATTGTATAACTGATATTTTAGGCAGGATCAGTATTTATTTGTTTACAATTATAATTATATTTTAAAGTGAACAAACTTAAAAGCTGTATTAAATTAAAAAATAAAATATATAACATTATATTCATACTTAATAAATATATTTTAAAATAAAATGTGAAGTTATGTTTAAATTAGAATTAATAAATAATTAAAATTTTATATAAATAAAATTAGAAAGTTTAAAAGAACTCGGAAAACTTTTCACCTAATTTAAAAAAACGTGTTAAAATGTATCTTTTAAAACAGAAAAGTAAAATTTATTTTTTCATATTTTTTATTATCATTTAGTTTATATAAATCAATTAAAATAAAACTTTAATTTATCATTTAATTCACCTTGTAATGATTAAAATACATTTTAACTTTAAAAAAATGTTTTTTTTTTCAAATTAATAAATATTAATTGGTTTATATTTTATTGTATTTTATTTTTTCAAATCTAATCTTAGTCAATATTTGAAGAACCATACTCAAACACGGTCAATTAAGCTTAAACAATCCTTTATCAATTTATATGTGCAATTTAAAAATGTTTGTAATGTAAATATTTAATACACCTTATTAATTTAATTACTTCAAAAAATAAATATTAAATTATTTTTATATTTTAATGTCCCGGTGCTCATAGGAACTTTCGTTGCATATTCGTTAATTTGCTAATCCTAAAACATAAAGCCACTGTACATTAGGAATGTCAAAACGGTCAAGTCGGATGGACCGGCTCAGCTAGCCACGCCATAATATGGCAGGGTGGGTTGGTATTTTCAGCCACCGACCGTTTTAGCTCGCCTCGCCAACCGCGGGATGGGGCGTGACTAGCCCATGGCCGCCTAATTAATAAAAAAATATTTTTTTATTATAATAAAATTAATTATAAAGATAATATATAAAATTAAAAATTAAAAAAAAAATTAAAAAAGTTTCACTCTCACATAACATATTCTCCTTAGTGAAACACAATATTCTCTCTCGTGTTCTCCTTGTTCATCCTAAGCACATATTATTTTTATCCTTCTAACTTGAATTAAAGATGTAAAAATTACCCAACCAAGAATAATGTGAAATTTTATCAAATAAAAAAGATATAGGTATTTAAATTTTTCAATAAAAAAATATAAATTTTATAAGTTTTAATGTTATATATATATATATATATATATATATATATATATATATTTGTTATTATTTATTATTATGTAAATTTTATTATTATTCCAAATTATAATTTCTTAAAACAATGTATTAATTTATAGTATTAAATTGAAATAATATATATATATATATATATATATATATATATATATTGAATTATTGACAAACAAATAATAATCTTATTAAAAAAATTTATTTTAAAAAATAAATTATTTTTTTTAATTATGACAGGTCAGCTACGCCAGCTTGCGCAGTGGCCAAGGTCTATAACCAGTCATGATTATATCGGGTCAGCCCGTCCCGCCCTGCTTTTGGCGGACCAAAGGCGGGATGGGCCAAAACGTGGCGAACTGACCCGTTTTGCCATCCCTACTATGCACTCTTGCGTGCCTTGTCGTCTACACCATAAGGTGTTTTTCACGAATTCCAAACTCCTCCATAGCAAGTTACCCATATGATGCCATTGAATCTATCTTTTTGAAGTACAACAATAATTTTAAATCAACTTACTTTAACGATAACTAATGAAGGTTAGACATAGTTGAGAACAAATTTAATTATGTGAGATACTAAACCTTCTTGGGAAAGTAACTATTTGCTGCTTCGTGAACAGCTTCAATTTCTCTCTTTTTAGGTGGTCCGTACTCCATTCATACCTCTATCCACTATTACACCCTTTTCATGCCACGGTGACCAAAAGAACAGAAGACCCCCATACCACCCTCTACCTATTCTTTCCCATTGACAAGGAGATCCATACTGGAAACTTTATTTATTCTTCCGTCTCGATACGATCTCTGATGCCCAAGCTTTCCCAGTTTCAGTTTGGAACTTCCCTGCAAAAGGGTAAAAGTTTCCCCAACACATTATCAACGCTGTCTAACTAACCATAAAAGGCAGAGAAAATTGATACTCGGTGAAAATTCCGTCCAACATGTTCCAATACATGATCAACTCCTTACCAAATGAACAAAAATATGCAGAAGATCAAAGCCATACGATAAACCCAAATCAATGTGCAACTTCGAAATATCGATTTTAAGATGTCTTTCATGAAATTCCATCTCATCTTAGCAAGCAGGTACTACTGAGACTTAACATTGTTGTTCCACAAACAAAAAGGGGGCAGGTAAGAGAAAATCATAAATGTGGAATTTCTTTTTATTCACAATCAGGTACTACTGAGCCTCCATCATTCACTTTCACAACACAAACTAATAAACCACCCTTAGAAAAAAAAAATCATACCAGCAGTTGACTGGAAAAATTCATCCAAATCTTTATCCTGCTCTGCAAAAAGTAATGAAAGAAAAAATTTCAGAAGATCTAAACCAGGTGGATTATTACCTGAAACAAATCTGCAAACGAAAACGACAATGACCAAAATAGCCCTTCATTTTGAATGTTTACTAGCATTTTTTAATTCTAAATGCATGATGTACTCTAATTTAAAACTTCCAGGATGCATGCTGCATTGTTATTCCCCACTTTTGCATAACTAACTCATTACAACTGAGTAATCAAATTCGATACCTATCATCATATAAGATGAGAGTAGAGGAGATTATATTCAACCTAACGGAAGAAACATATAGAGCCATTACATTTGAAATTCTAGGCAAAACATGACATAAAATTACTGATCATAGACATTCGTAAAAAAAAAAAAAAAAATACAAATCACAGTTCAATAGTTGTTTTGTAATATAACAAATCACTAATGATATCCTATAGACAACAAATTCCCAAAAATTCTAGCTAGAATATTATTTATAGTTGTTAATTTTGATGACAATCAAAATAAAAGTCATCAGTTATCACGCCTCTGACCCTCCACGGAGCTTGTTTAATTATGGAGCCCAACCACCCAGTCCAGGAAGCCCATGGGCCCAAATGTTTAAAACACGTCCTAAACTCAACATCACTTGTATATTCCATAACATATATAGATTAATTTGTAGATATTTATTATTAGAAGATTAGACAAACTACTCAGATGATTCAACAAGGCCTGTATATGATCATAATAAAGTGAAAAGATATGAAGAA